ACAAGGTATTTTGTAAGGGGAGATAGGCAGCTCTTGAAACTCATTGCCAAATTGTGACTGAGACAGCGAAGGAGATCCAACCCAAACAACTCCATTTTTTTTCCAGCCCCCAAGCTGCCTTTGCCCATCCCTGGGCATAGACTGAACCAACTTTGTGAGGAGTCTAGTTTACAGTGTATAGTTTAAAACAAAGATGATAACAGCACTTTCTTAAGATATACTCCCCTCTTGCCAGGGGACCAGACCAAGAAACTAGCCATAAGATTAGAAACCATGACTTAGGGGTAATGCAGCTGGAGGCTACAAGATTTTGACCCTCTCAAGATGAGTGCTTAAGATATTTTGTAAACCCTGCTCATGATGGATTAGCTGGCACCACCCACATTGACAAACTGGCTTATCTGACTTTGTGGCTGTCACCCAGGAACTGACTCAGCACAAGAAGACAGCCACCATTGTAAAATGGCAGAAACTAAAACAAAGTATTGCCATGTGGTTACAGGTTATGTTCCCAAGGACATGAAACAAGATGGAGTCCTGTAGCCAAGTTCGTTACTGACCGTTTTGTTGGGCTGCCTTGAACAGCAGGCTTTTGGGGTACTGGGCCTGCATCCTAACCTAAGATACCCTTTCTTTGACAGAACCATACAGAAAGACATGCAGAGCACATCAGATTGTCTGCAGCTTAAGACCAACCTCACAAATCCTTTTTCATTAATTATAATTTTACAGATAATATAAATTATGATCCTTATTATCCCGTTTACTGGTTTGCACAGGGAGAGAGAAGTCAAAAGCCTGACTAGTAAGAAATTTTTACCCTTTTGCCAGCATATCAGGCTTCTGGGTTCCCTTCCCCCTTGGCTCAACTCTAAGCCAAGCATTTTAAGGTTTGGAAAATTAACATTTCCCAGGTTGGAAGAACATTATGAAAGAGATAGAATCCATTTTAAACTGCAAAAACAGGAAAAACACCTTAGAAAGGAGTTCCAGTTAGGGTTGTCAAGAGGTATTGGCTCTTCCTATTGGGAATGGTGCTTCCCCTATTTCTTTGCCTTCCCTATTTTCTCTTTTCCCTTTTGGCCTACTATAGGAGACATATTGCTCATCTCCAAAATTCTCTTCTGCTTGCAGAGCTGCCTGTTTTAGCTGTAGTTAGGGTTTGGCTTAGAAACAGCATAACATTCCTCCATGAGAAGTCAAATACTTGAGTTAAATTTTGGAAAGCTTCTATATACCCATCAGGGTTGTCCGAAAATAGTCCTAAGACTCCTTTTACTTGTCTGAGGCCCTGCAATGAGAAGGGAACTTGAAGGGCCCCCAAATAAGGGGGATCCTCAGATGGTTCCCCTGTAACTTACTTCTTTAGTTTTGGGGAAGTAAAAAGGCCATGCCCTTGTGCAAAAGAAAATAGGCCATTTTTCTTCAAAGTTTCAGGGTCGAAGGAGTCCCAGTGCTTTAAAATACACTCCAGGGGAGTGCATGTTAAAAGATGATTTGTTATCCATCTAGAAAGAGAAGTGAGAATAAAAGCGTCCTTTTAGTCTCCTTCCTTTCGGTATGTGATCCAGGATAGAGACAAAAACAGTAGAGGGCGTCCCCCCAACTATATTCCCTCCAGGGTTCCTGGATTCCCAGCACTTGTTTAAATGTGCCACCCATGACTGCAGGCGTTACCCTCCAAGCTATGGCACCAGAGGAACTAAACTTTTGGGCCTTAGTCACGCCGTCCCCAAGCAGTCTTAGTCCTCTGCCTTTTATTTCCCTTTGACCTCCTAGACTTGTGTGGCCTGTGTTCCTTCCTAAATGGATTTCAAGAAAAATCACGTAATTGGGCAAGGTCCCTGTAAGGGAGGGGGCATGCTAGATTGAACTCTATATCCTGCTATTATAGTCCGTGCTAAAGCATTTACCTACAGAAAAATGGTTCCGGTTAACTTCTGGACTTAAAATTCCCTCACTAATTAAGTACTGTCTTAATAGGAGACAGAATACACGCCTTAAAGGAACATAGAAACTGAATGTTCGTTTTTCTGCCAGTGGGACAATATGGAGACTAAAATGTGATTGCAGAAGACATCTTGCTCCTAACTGTTAAAAGCAGAGCTTTCCCGTCCACAGAAGTAGCAGTAGAAAAGTGCAAAATGGAAAAGTAGCAAAGCTGCAATGTACTGCAGAGAACCAGCAATGTGTCTCATGAAGAGGATTTTTATTTCCACTAGGTGGCTTAGAAATACCATGTGCTCGCCAGAGAAACGGTAGAGAGTAAGAGACGTTTATTAAGTTACTGCCTGCCATGATTCGTGATCTTTTCTAACAGACCATGAACTGTTTTTGCCATGAACTGTAAAGATTCCTGCACATTAGACACACAGAGAGAGGGTAAGAGACCGCTGAAAAGAGAAAGTTTGGTGACAGGGTAGCTGGAAGACAGCCTTGAGATTAAAGGACAGATTTAAAGTTGAGATCCACTCCATACTCACCAGTCTGATGAATGAATTTCCTTTCCTGGCCCATGCACCAAAATGATACGGCTCTGAGGAGTGGAGGAACACCAACCAGGTTCTTCATCTCATATTGAATTGAGAAAAACGACACGGACACACATGGAGTGGTTTTAAGGAGCAGAGAGTTTAATAGGCAAGAAAGAAGGCAGAAGCTCCCCTTTACAGAGACAGAGGGTGGAGGGGCTCCAAACCCAAGACAGGAGACCCCCATGTGGGGTGGAAAACAGCCAAATATATGTAGAGGCTGGAGGAGGAGGTGTCTGATTTGCACAGGGCTCAGGGGATTGATTTGGCCAGGGATGTCATTCACATAGACTGTGAAAAACTGGCCTTCCCACCCTAGCCTTTTAATATGCAAATACAGGGCACCAAGATGTTCTACACATGGGGAGATATGTGGGGGCGGCCACATGGGCAGGCACACATCCCGGCTAGGGCAAGAGGAAAACAGTGGGAATTACCATGTTGGGTGGACCCAGTTTCTAAAGGCTTGCATTTGCATATTAAAGGTTGCTGGCCCAGCTCTGAGAGCCAGGGCCTTCCTGCTAGACAAGAAACATTTCTGGAGCTACTTTAAAAGAAACTAAAACGTTCCAAGTACCCCTCCATCTGCCTAAAATAGTTTCTTAATAACTCCTATCACACTGCTTTTCAGATGTAAATGTAAGGTCAAAGGTCAGCAGAATTGTTTAATAATACAAGTTGGCAATAAAGTATTTTATCATAATATATACAGTATTTCCCATTATAACTGATGTAATTAAAAAAATCTTTTGGCTTTCTTGCAATTAAAAACTCACAGGGGATGTTGCAGTGAGCCTAGATTGCACCACTGCACTCCAGCCCCAGGGCAAGACCCTGTCTCCAAAACAAAACAAAACAGAAGACACAGGCATTACATATTTATTAATCATATTGCTCAGTGACCTACCCCATTCTGGAACATAAAGAACACAGGATTTTTTTTCTTGTGTTGGGAAATTTTAATTCTAAAAAAGGCCAATTCCCAAACATTTAGTCTTAAGTCCTCTTTTAAAAGTTACTTCTTCAAAATCCCAAGAAATAAGAGATTTGCTAACGATCCAGATAAGCAAAAGTCCTATCGAGTATCTTTACATGTATTTCACTGCCTACTTGCTCTTCTTTCTTGGTGACCTAGCTGGATGTCCTTTGCCCATTTTTGTGGGGTGGAGAGAAGTTTGGTCTTTGAATTTTTAAGCACTCTCTAAATAATAAAACAATTACCCTTTGTGGTATAAGTTGCATTTTTTTTCTTGCAGTTTATCAGTTGATTTTGTCATGCACGTCTGTGTGAAGAGACCACAAAACAGGCTTTGCGTGAGCAATAAAGCTTTTTAATCACCTGGGTGCAGGCCGGCTGAGTCCAAAAGGAGAGTTGGCGAAGGGAGATAAGGGTGGGGCCGTTTTATAGGATTTGGGTAGGTAAAGGAAAATTACAGTCAAAGGGGGTTGTTCTCTGGAGGACAGGAGTGGGGGTCACAAGGTGCTCAGTGCAGGAGCTTTTTGAGTCAGGATGAGCCCAGAAAAGGACTTTCACTAGGTAATGTCATCACTTAAGTCAAGGACTGGTCATTTTCACTTCTTTTGTGGTGGAATGTCATCAGTTAAGGCGGGGCAGGGCATTTTCACTTCTTTTGTGATTCTTCAGTTACTTCAGGCCATCTGGGCATATATGTGCAAGTCACAGGGGATGCGATGACTTGGATTGGGCTCAAAGGCCTGACAGATTTTTCTTAGGCTGTTTTTTGTCCTATCTTGCATGATTTAAAATTGAAATTCAGGTTCATATCTATCTCTCTCTTTATATTGTTGTCAAAATAAATGTGGCCGAATTCACCTTTGAAGCAACTATTAAACAGAATTATACAGAAATAAGCAGTAATCATATATAAAGCTATTATTAAATATCCAGAAATATTCTGATGTTTTCTAGAGGTCGTTAGCATAGCCCATAATAACATAACAAATTTTTGATCTCTAAAGATGTAGACTGGTTAAAGAACACAAAGTCACTTATTTTAAAAATGCCAGAACATGTTTATTATTTTGATAAATATTTTTTAAATTGTGCTTTTAAAAGTTAATTTAGTATATTCTGAATTCATACAAAAGCTACTTACTTTTATAATAACAATTATTCTTTCATTTCAATTTTTATTGTTCTTTTTTATACAGAGCATAGTACTTTTGAAATAAAGCTTAGAAAATATCCAAAGCTCACTGGGCACGGTGGCTCACGCCTGTAATCCCAGCACTTTGGGAGGCTGAGGCGGGTGGATCATGAGGTCAGGATACTGAGACCGTCCTGGCTAACATGGTGAAACCCTGTCTCTACTAAAAATACAAAAAAGTAGCCGGGTGTGGTGGCGGGCACCTATAGTCCCAGCTACTCAGGAGGCTGAGACAGGCGAATCACCTGAACCCGGGAGGCGGAAGTTGCCGAGATCATGCCACTGTACTCCAGCCTGGGCAACAGAGCAAGAATCTGTCTCAAAAAAAAAAAAAAAAAAGAAAGAAAGAAAAGAAAATATCCAAAGCTTATATTCCAAATATTTCTCTCAAGTGGTCTTAACCACAGTAGTCATTTAATGCCTTTTTAGTACATTAATTTTTTTCCTAGAGAAAAAACTGATATAGCATATATTTCACTCCAAACTGTTTAAAAGACTAGGGTTCTGCTCTATAAAATAAAAGGAAACTAAGGGGGAAAAAGTACATTTGTAAAAAAAAACACATATGTCAAAGAAGATAGGCAGAAAATGAATCAAAATATTAGGAGTGGTTATCACTAGGTAGCATAATCATATGTGACTTATTTTTCATAACTTTCTGCATTTTCCAAGCTCTCCTTAATGAGCCCATTCCATATTACAAATATTTTAAAAAAGAAAAATGACCAACTTATAAACCAGCAATTCCAGGCAACACCTTATTTCTTTAAGTAATCCAAACCATTATCTATCTCCTAAATGCAGTCTTTTCCCCTGACTAGGTACTGTGTGCGTTTAGCACGAGGCAGAAGGGTGGGGGTTTCACAGTGATGCACACAAAGAGGGAGGAGCTTTGCTAGGTACTGGGGAAGCGGCAGCATCTTCAAGTGCACATGTCTGCATCTCTGTGAAGTCACTTCAAAGACTTTATGAAGCCCAGATTTGATTCTGTTGAAATCGATTGGCTCCTTTCCAACCAAAATTGTATTTGAGATGTTCTTCAGCTGTATAGTACTTTGTCAAGGAAGGACACTGAAATAACAGGATGTTTTCATTTAGTTAACAGCATGGTCAGCAATTGAACTACCCAGAATTTACAGGCTGATAATCGTGATGCTAGAATTTCCGTATAAATTACAAGGTCATTAGAAGTGTTTATTGCCCTCTGTGATGGCTGCTGTGTAGGACACAGAAAGTATGGCACAAATGGAGACATTAGTAAATAAGAGAGAGATTAATGATTAACTTGACCTTTTCCTTTTTTGTGTCCAAAGAAAAAGTGTTCTCAGAGTTGAGCTACTAAATAAAGAGCCTCATTCCATTCTAGAAAACGTACAGGTCACCCATAACAGAAGAAATTTTTTTGAGTCTGTTGTTCTAAACCATGTTGGTAGCAGGGGGCAGAAATAGTAACTGGTCATCTTGGAGGGGTCAGCTTCAGAAAGCATGTCCTCCTCTTCTAATTACAGTCAAGAATGAGCTGCAGTAGTGGATTTAGTACGAGGTATCCACATGCTTCCCCAGCCATGCTGCAGCCTCTCGTTTTAAGGCCGAGAATGGTGTCCTTCCACCAATTGACGAACCTCCTGATGAGGCCCTCTAGTTCGTCTGCTCCCCAGTTATTACTGCCACCAGATTCCTTATCTTCGTTCTTTTTCCATCTCACAAGACTTCCCAGCATCACCTGTTACCTGTATTCCTCCAAACACTCTCATGTCCAACTCTCATGTCCAACACACAGCTATGTCTTTGGAGCCTGCCTCTTTACTCCGCCCCAGAACCTGGGTGCACAAGGTCTTAGCTTGGCACAGATTCTAACTCACTTCTTGACTAGCATGTTTTGCCACAGATGATTCACGTTGTTCCTGTGGAACACTGTGGTCAAAATTCCAACCTTAAAAGGGAAAGTTGAAACAAAATTTTTAAGGACTTTATACCTACTAAAAGGTGATCAGTAGTTAGTGTACACAATTTGAGGTGTAATTTGATGTAAAACAGTAGTATTTCCAAAAAAATGAGGCTAACTGAAATTTTCGTAAATTCATTTTTCAATTGTTTAAGTTGCTCAGTTGATTGCTGAACATTTCTCATTTGATGATACTCAGAGATTTTGGGAGATGTTTTTTAAAAAATCAATTTTTCTCCCTAGAGAAAGTAAAAACTGATATAGCATATATTTTTTAAAAATGTCTCTTCATCAGAAGCTAGTTTAGCATGTGAAAGAAAACACACATAAGCACAATGTATGGTACATTGTAAGTGGCTAAGAATACTTTAAAAGTAAGCAAGTAAATGAATGCAATAGCGTTAACAGGCAAAAAACAACACATGAAATGTCAAGTGGTTATGTACTGTTATCATGATGGGAGAAATGTTTGTCATTTGGTGAAAAAATAGCAGGATTCAATATTGTGCAATCAATATAATCTCAAAGTGTAAATGCAAGTGTAAAATAATATGCAAAGAAGCTTAAGAATACTACTAGGTAGAGATTATTGCAGGTAATTTTTACATTCATTTATATTTTCCCCTATTTCTTGTTTTTAATAATGATGAGATATTACTCTTAAAATACATTAGTTTATTTTTAAAATAGTATAGTTAGGAAATCTGAGTTTCAAAGAAAAACATTATTTTGGACTAGAGTTGTTTAGGATAGCATCTTGGTTGAGTGAATTCAGAGCTGGGTTAATGGAATTTAGATAGAAACAAAGGTGAAAAAGGCACATGAAATCAATAAGCGTGATATCATTTAAGCAGATGTGCTTATCAAATTCAGTGTTTGTACAATGGACTGAATGTTTGTATCCTTCCAAATTTATACGTTGAAAATTTATAGGATCTAATTACTTCTCAAATAGCCCTTGTGAATGGGACTAGTGCCCTGAGAAAAGAGACCCCCAAGAGCTCCCACACTCCTTTTCTCTGATGTGAGGACACAGAGAAAAGATTGAAGTCTATTAACTAGAAAGCGAGCCCCACTAGACGCTGAATTTGCAGTTGCCTTGATCTTGGACTCTCTATCCACCAGAACTATGAGAAATAAATGCTTGGTTTTTAGAAATGAAATAAAGTTTTTAGGGACAGGGTCTTGCCATATTGCCCAGGCCACCCTTAAACTCATGGGCTCAAGCAGTACTCCTGCCTCAGCCTCCTGAGTAGCTGGGACTATAGGTGGGAACCACTGCACCCAGCTTAAATGCTTATTGAAACCACCCAGTCTATGGAGTTTTTGTTATAGCTGCCCAACTGTCTATACCAACAGACTGTGACAGTTTGTATATTAGAACAAGGAGTTCTAATGGAACTCCTTGGAGCCTTGAAACCAGGAGTAAGTTTAGGACAAGCTAAAGATACACTGTTTAACTTGGTAAAGAATTATGGCAGAAATTTTCCCTTGTGGTAACACTCTTAGTGGTGTTTATCTCACTCATTCATTTGGTAAGTATTTATTGAGACTCTCTTTGTTCCAGGGACAGTGTAGATTTGTTTTGAATCCATTGGTGAAGATAGGACAAAAATCCCTGACTTCATGGAGGGAGAGAGAGAATAAACATGGAACATAATTATTTAATTAAGGGTAATAAAAGGATAAGTATACAAAAAAAAAAAAAAAGCAGGATAAGAGAGATTAGGAATGTGGGAGTGGGGGTCATACCGTCTTTACTAGGATAGTTAAAGTACACCTCCTTGAGGAGTATTTTAAAGGTGAGATGATTTCTTTTTCTATTTTTTTTTTTTTTTTTTCTGAGACAGAGTCTCGCTCTGTTGCCCAGGCTGGAGTGCAGTGGCGCGATCTCGGCTCACTGCAAGCTCCGCCTCCTGGGTTCACGCTCCGCCTCCTGGGTTCACGCTATTCTCCTGCCTCAGCCTCCCGAGCAGCTGGGACTACAGGTGTCCACCACCACACCCAGCTAATTTTTTTTTGTATTTTTAGTAGAGACAGGGTTTCACCATGTTAGCCAGGATGGTCTCCATCTCCTGACCTCGTGATCCGCCTGCCTCAGCCTCCCAAAGTGCTGGGATTACAGGCGTGAGCCACCACACCTGGCCATGGTGAGATGATTTCTGTATGTGAATTCCATCCACTTCTGTCTTAGTTTCTTTCTTTTTTTTTTTTTTTTTTTTTTTTGAGAGGGAGTTTGGCTCTTGTTGTCCAGGCTGGAGTGTGGTGGCGTGATCTTGGCTCACTGCAACCCTGCTTCCCAGGTTCATGCGATTCTCCTGCCTCAGCCTCCTGAGGAGCTGGGATTACGGGCGCCCACAACCACACCTGGCTAATTTTTTGTATTTGTAGTAGACACGGTATTTTATCACATTGGCCAGGCTGGTCTCGAACTCCTGACCTCAGGTGATCCACCCGCCTCGGCCTCCCCAAGTGCAGGGATTATAGGCCTGAGCCACCACACCCAGCCTCATTTTAGTTTCTCAGTAAGTCTCCGGACTGCTTATGCAGTTTCTGAATTGTCTCCAGTGTTTGAGGTAGACGTCAGCCTGAACCCCTCCAGACCTGGTGTGATAGTGGCTCTCCCATAAAGCAGGCCATCTTGTTCTATTCTACACTATTCTATCTCCGTCAGTCTTTTTTAGCTCCAGGATTAACAGCTCTTCTGACTTGAGGACCACTACGATACTCTCCAGTCATATTCTGTGTTTCCCACATGGCTTCCTTCTTCTTTGCCATAAGGCCCTTTATGCCCTTGTGTTTCTGTGAGGAAAGCTTGAGCTCCAGATAAGGAATAATCAGCCCTCCTCACATAGCCACAATGACTTAGCTATTGGCCACACCCACTCAAGGAAGTATGACTGCATGATTAATCAGCCCAACTCCTTCCAAGAGAAGGGACCTCTGCCTTCTGATTATTTAAGTTTATGACTTTCTCTTCCCAATTTTAGCTATGTGTTATTTCTAACAAGAAAATCAATGGTATTTTGTTAGAGAAATGCACTCACTATTCTGAAACCACCTTTGCAAAGATTATGAGCATGAAAGAAATCTAACACGGCTGACTTCATCTTGCTTCCAGCCTCATGGGTGAGCTGGCTTTGCTCATTCCTGGGTGTAGGCCAAGCTAACCATGAAAGGAATTTAGTTTATAATTTAACTTTGGAGCAAGGATAATAACGGTCTCTTCTAAAACTAGCTCTCTCCTTGCTCAGGGCCTGAAAGCTAATGAAAGGCCAAGAGATTAGGATTATGAGAGGGACCTGAACTCTGCTAAAATATAGGCATAGTTTTTATAATCCATTACTGCTCAGAGATTTGTGACTTCCCTAATTGTTCCTATAGATAACATCACTATTATAGAATGTAAGATTGGTCTTCTGAGATGTTTTTCAGGTTTTTGCATTTGGCAACTGACTGACTCTACCTGAACCTGTGACTCATGACTCAACTGGTCCTGTGGCCCCCAACCAGAGGTGGATACAGCACATGAGGACCATTTCCCACATCCCCATCCCCAACCAATCAGCAGTACCCATTCCCTAGCTCCCTTCCTACTAAATGATCTATAAAAACCATTGCTCCTGTGTTCTTGGGGAGACTGAGTTGAGTGATAACTCCAGTTCTTCCACATGACTGGCCTTGTGTTAATTCAACTCTTTCTTTACTGTAATATACCATGATCTCAGGGAATTGGTTTTGTCTGTATGACAGGCAGGAAGAACCCTTCAGGCAGTTACAGTCCCAAGAAGTGAAACAGGTCAAAAGTAAAAGTTTAGAAAATGTTTAAAAGTTTTCCTGGATTGCACATATATAATAGGTTTTAGTGTGGGTTACATAGATGTTTAGGAGGTTTACCTCCCTGACCTTTAAGTCTAGCAAGGATCATGATCTTTCTTTCTGCCACATTTCTGGTAGCCACTGGTCAGAGAGAATGGTTGTGCCATGGACATTACACTTTAAAAGAGTATGAAAAAAATAGGAGGCAGGTTTTACGAGATGGAAAACATGAAGAAATGGTATATGCTCTGAGGTTGCTTAGGCTATACAAGATAATAATTTCTAAGGAAATAATTGTATAAATGGTTATTGAGTCATGTTAATCAACTGTAGTTGATTAACAAGGAATGGGCCATGAGGAGTGAAGAATGACATAGTTAGAAGGGTGGAGATATTCAAATATGTTCAAGATATTAAAGTATCTTTAATATTTTCAAGAGGAAGAGACAATCATTTCCCCTGTGTGGTTTCAACTAGAGACTGGTATAGATACAAAAAATTAGAAGCCCTAACTTCTTTAATTCAGACTTAGTAAATTTTTTTTTAACATTAACTCACAAATTATAGTGGTACTTAATAAGAAACTTTAAGAGAAAAATGTATTGACACAAGTACTTTGTTAAGGGAAAGTGCCAAGCTACTTACTTTTTCTTTTTGTAATGGAAAAGAGCAAAGAATATTTATATGTCAAGCCATAAAATATAGAGAACATTAGTTAGGAAGGATAATGATTTAAATTTAAATGTCAACCAATTCACTATTTTCCCATGAAATTGAGTTCCTGACTAGGTTGTTTACAGCAAGATCTACTATGACAAACTACTTTTTAAAAGTGTATTGCCATCTCTGTGAAATACAAAAACTTCAATTGCTGTATAGTTTGTTGTAGGAAACTGCATTGTTTAGAATATTTCCTATAGAAAACTGTTCACTTAAAAGTTACACATTCAGGTATTTTTATTTTTATTTTTTTTAGACGGAGTCTGCTCTGTTGCCCAGGCTGGGTTGCAGTGATGCGATCTCGGCTCACCACAACCTCTGCCTCCCAGGTTCAAGCAATTCTTCTGCCCCAGCCTCCCGAGTAGCTGGGGCTACAGGCACACGCCACTATACCTGGCTAAGTTTTTGTATTTTTAGTAGAGATGGGTTTTCACTGTGTTGGCCAGGCTGGTCTCAAACTTCTGACCTCATGATCTGCCTACCTAAGCTTCTGAAAGTGCTGCGATTACAAGCGTGAGGCATCAAGCCTGGCCCTCAGTTTTTTATGGGTATAGAATTTGCTCATCGACCTTATAACATTGTTATTATTGATTCTGGCCTCACTGGTGTTGTTATACTTTAATCAACCATTACAAAAGCTGCGTATGTTTTCTTTCCTGTCAAAGACATTTCTTTATTCAGATCTTAATTTTTGCAAGTTTTTTTTCAAGTGTAAAAAGTTAATAGTGACCTCGCACAGTGGTTCATGCCTGTAATCCCAGCACTTCGGGAGGCTGAGGTGTGTGGATCACTTGAGGTCGGGAGTTTGAGACCAACCTGGCCAACATGGCAAAACTCTGCCTGTACTAAAAATACAAAAATTAGCCTGGTGTAGTGGCACATGCCTATAGTCCCAGCTACTCAGGAGGCTGAGGCATGAGAATCCTGGGAGGTGGAGGTTTCAGTGAGCCGAGGTCGCACCACTGCACTCTAGGCTGGGTGACAGAGAAAGACTGTCTCAGAAAAAAAAAAAAAAAGTTAATTGTGTTTACAAAGTATTTGTTCATATATTAAAATACCCAATGGAAAGTCTCAATTCTTCCCCACTGGCAGGCTATGTGTGCCATAAGTGACCCAATCAAACTTCTAGTGCTATGATAGGATCTGGGCTTAGAGGTCAGTGTCTGCAATGTCTTAGCAAAACTAGGATATCAACAGTTTACATTTCTTGGGATAATATGGCTATACTTACCCTTACCCTTTTCTGTACTTTAGAATTATTCAAGAGAGGAAAATGATGAATAAAATAACGAAGATTGTACCGGATAAAGTGCCTAGGCAGTAAAACAAGGTAATTACATGCATAGAAAATATAACTCATAGGTTTTAAATTCTGTCTTAGTATCCAGTCCCACTACAGATTGCCAATGCTTTTTTTTTTTTTTTTTTTTTTTTTAAGATGTAACTATACATTCTGCTTTACTCTGGGTTTCTATAGTATTAGTCTTACTCCCACAGGGTTATTATAGTTAAGGTGTGATCTGAGCTGTTTTGTAACCTTTAGTCCAATATCAACTTTTCCAAAAGTAAGTGAGAACCACGATGGGGCAGCTGGCCATCAGCTCTCCATGGCCCTGCCCGTGTGTCTTGCCTAAGGCTTAACACACAGGCATTTCATTGTGACAATACTGGAATTTTCTGTCTTGTTGAATTATATATGTAGGTCCTTTGTCCATTTATTGATTGTTAAAGTGCACAGTCTCCACAGGTAGGTAGACCCAGGCTATCCCATTCTGTGGTCTTGGGCAAGTTACCTAAACCCTCCATGTCTCAGTGTCCAGATGTGTAAAAAGGGATGTAAGAATACCATGCCACAGAAATTCCCTTGGAAGCAAACTCTATTACAAAACTACTCTTCTAACAGAGGCAGATCACAGATATGGGCTCAGAAGACTGATCTTGTGGCTTTCTATTTGTGCAAATGGGCACAATCACCATCTGGAAGCATACTCCAGGTTATAACCCAAAGAAGAAGCTTCATTCTCCCACCACATTCAAATAAGTTATTTTTGACACTGTTGAATGATTATGCATTTGTAGTGGTTCAAAGATAGTAAAGAACCTTTGAGGAAGGTTACTCAGTAACCTGGCATATGATGATGCCAGTTCCACCATATCCTGGCCTAAACTCATCATGATTTTCTTTCTAGTTGAATTTACAACTCAAGATATTTTGATCTCTCTTTTTACATTTCATTCATTATAAGTAGGTACTTACTGTTAAAGATGCCAGAATTCCTCATCAAACCCTTCATAAAACTTACCAACTATAAGAGCATCATTTGCACCTAAAACGAAGAGAGAAGTCACAAAAACATCACTCTGGCATGCAACATAATTGAACAGGACTTCTCAGCCAATGACAATTTATCCTGAATTTTATTCAGGACTCAGACTAATATTTTTTTTAAAAGTCATTGATTTCACTCACATACTCTCATTTTACCTTCTGTACTCAGAGAAGATTTTTTTTTTTAGACAAAGTCTCAATCTGTCGCCAAGCTGGGGTGCAGTGGTGCAACCTCACTGCGACCTCTGCCTCCCAGTACAAGGGATTCTTGTGCCTCAGCCTCCTGGGTAGCTGGGAATACAGGCACATGCCATCACACCCAGCTAATTTTTGTGTTTTTAGTAGAGACGGGGTTTCACCATGTTGGCCAGGATGGTCTCAATCTCCTGACCTCGTGATCCACCCGCCTCAGCCTCCCAAAGTGCTGGGATTACAGGTGTGAGCCACTGCCAAGAAGACTTTTTAAAAATTAATATTTTTCTCATAAAAGTAATACAATTACAGAAGAAAACTTACAATACAGAACTAAAGAAAAAAATCACCCCAAATCCTAGTACCCAAAACATGTTTTGATACATTCTCTTCTGGCATATTTTCTCATATGTGTGTTTTCACATATTTATATACTAGAAATGTAAATTACAACAGAGATAAACTAGTATAATCTAGTAGATGCATCATAGTGTATTCAATGACTTCTATTGTGCATTTATTTCTAGTTTTCTTTCTCATGAAACCCTTAATAAAATGCATAAAATATTTTATATTTTACATTATTTCCTTAGATTGGAGTTCTAGGAGGGCTAACTGGCAGGAATAGTTGTATTATTGTCCACATACATTGCATAATTGTTTTTCATAATAGATTTTGCCAATTTACAATAGTACCTTCAACATACAACAATATTTGTTACAGTACATCCTTACTTTTTATTGGGTATTCACATAAAAACCTTTTTAATGGACAATTTTAAAAAATGGTACCTTGTTATTTTGCATTTCTTTAGTTCTAGTGAGGTTAAACAGTTTCTGTATATTTGTGTGTCAAAGTAGAAAGATATTTACACCCTTCCTCTAAATCTTGCATCCTAAGATAGTTTCTGCATTTCCCTGCAGAAACTTTCAGGGCTGTGTTGCATTGAACTATGTAGAACTGAAGAAACTCCATTTACCTTAGAAATAGCATGGAGACTTCTTGTGAACTAAGAAGGTCCAGAAAGTGGGGAGAATATTGAGAGACAGTCTGGGTGGAACTGAGAGAAACTAGGCTCTAGGAAAGCAGTTGCTTTAATGAATGGGACACTGGGTAATGGAAATGGGTAAAGAGGATTTGGGGACATTTTAATGAGTGTCACATAGTTTAATTTTTCTTTAAGCCTCTCTTAAGATATTCAAGTAGAAACTTCTCTTAGTTTTAACATGTTTCCTGGAGTTGAACTTATTAGTCTAGCATGCAACACCATGCTAATTATTCTTGAGACAGCGTAAATATGGGTTATATGTATTAATTCTGGCTTTAAAGGGGACCTGGCGATTACCCCTTGCTCTGAGGAAGATGTTGAAATGAATTGGGCCTCTGATGTAACTGGGCCATTGAAATGGGAAGATAGGGGATCTGAGTATCCCAAGAAATTCTTCCTTCTCTGATGCTAGTACTCAGAGGTTCCTTTTTCTCTCTGGATTGCTATTCTTTCTCAAAACCCTCTATGGCATGTCACTCCAAGCCTGGACCACCTCCCCAGGTTAGTTCTTCATCTTCCATTTTAGGAAGGCCTAGGACTGGTATCTTAAGTAATCTATCCCAAGCCTTAGGGGAAAATACTGGGTTTTATTTTTTCTGTTTTGATGGTCTCTAAGATCATGAAACTTTCTTTGCCTCTTCTCACTACAAAGCAGTAAGATGTCAAAGGCGAAGACTAGATAGGGTAAAGAGACTAGGAATAAGAAGGCAAAGGGGACTGCTTTTAGTCTGAGTCTTAGTTCAGAGAGACAAAAGGAGTTCCTAAGTGGTTCAGCCCAATTCACGAGGAGTCTACACTAAGCTCTGAGTTCCAAGAACCTGCTGGTTAATAGTTATTTGGCCCATTCTGATTCTTTGTTGTATCTCCTTCAACCAACTGAAGAATTGCCCATTATCTGGTGTTTGGGACCTTGGCCTGATAACTTTCCATTTTATTATGACAATACTTAAATATTCTCTTGTTGAATGATATATTTACATCCTTTGACCATTTATTTATTGTTAAAGTTAAATATTGTTATTTATTGTTACAGATAAGTAGATTGCTTGGCCAGGCTACCCCATTCTGTGGTCTTGTACAAATTACCTAAACCCTCTGTGTCTCAGTTTCTACATCTATAAAATGAGATAATAAGAATACTACCCTCCTCATAGGTTGTTGTGTAATTAAATTAGAAGCTATCTTTTGTGTGTTTGTGTGTGTGTGTGTATGTTTTGAGACAGAATCTTGCTCTATTTTCCACGCTGGAGTGCAGTGTTGTGATCTCAGCTTACTGCAGCCTCGACCTCCCAGACTCGGAATTCTCCCACCTAAGCTTCCCAAGAAGCTGCAACTACAGGCATGTACTACCATGCCCAGCTAATTTTTTTATTTTTTGTAGAGACAGAGTTTCGCTATACTGCCCAGGTTTCTCTTGAACTCCTGGGCTCAAGTGATCCTCTCACTTTGGCCTCCCAAAGTGCTGGTATTACAGACATAAGCCACCATGTCCAGCCTATCTATCTTTTAATGGTGGTACTAAGTATTCATTATATAGTAATTTTTACAAATAGTACCACAACCACCACTACTGCTACCTGTAAGATAACACTATTAACCCTTTGCTGTGTTTCCCATATATTTCTCATCTATCTACTGCGTTATTTTTCAACCACAGAAATTCTAAGTCAAATTAGCCAACAGGTCAAAAAAGTCAGCACCAGGCTCATGCCTGTAATCCCACCACTTTGGGAGGTTGAGGCAGGTGGATTACCTGAAGTCAGGAGTTAGAGACCAGCCTGACCAACATTGTGAATCCCCGTCTCTACTAAAAAATACAAAAATTAGCCAAGTGTGATGGCAAGCGCGTGTAATCCTAGCTACTTGGGAGGCTGAGGCAGGAGAACTGCTTGAACCCAGGAGGCAGAGGTTGCATTGAGCTGAGTTTGTGCCATTGCACTCCAGCCTGAGCGACAGTACAAGACTCCATCTCAAAAAAACACATTAAAAAGTCTACAACTTTTATGATTCAATGCTCTTCTGACCTTACTGGAGGATAGAGCTTGTGCAGGCAGTCACAGCCACAAATGCATCTACAGTTGTCAGGTACTGTCATTTAAAGCCAGACTAATATATCAAAGGAAAGAGCTATGGAGGCTAAGAGTACAGTCTTAAACTCTGCTTCTCCAGGGCCTCCTGAGTTCCCTTTGTTAATGGTGAGGTGAAGGACCAACTAAATATAGTCAGTGACTTGAACAAACCCTTGGAAACAACATAAAAAGTATAAATCCCTACATCTGAGTTTCTTAAATTACTTTTATAGTATTATCAGTTCTGAAGTAAATTACGTCATCATTGTGTACTTTTCGTGCAGCACATCCATCTTTCCAGGATAAAGACAACTCGTAGTAGAGGTAGAATAAAAGAGTATTTTATTTAGCATTTGTTTTCAGTACTTTGAAAATATTCTCTACAAAATCTGGACCTCACCAATTCTCTTCACTGTCCACCCCCTTCTCTTCTTACCATCCCACACTGCTCACCCCAAGGACCATCAGAATACCAACAACTGAGACACAGTGTGCCTACTAGAACCCATTTGTCATTCACTTGGGAGGTAGTTCTGTCTCTGACATTCATAGCAAAGCCATTTTCACAAGCAAAAATGACTGTCACTATAGAAATATGGAGGTTCTCACCTAGATATTCTGAACCCGTTTAGGATATGTGGAAGCAGGTACTAACCAGCAGGAACAGAAAGTTCACAGCGAGGGGCGGGGCTGCTCCAAACCCCATTCCCTTGAGGGTCACTTGTGCAGCGGATGGTGCTCTCCCCAATGAGGTTGAAGGTCATCCCTCTGTCTGGGTGGGGGTCGCATGTGTAAGATACTTCTTTTCCATAGGGAATATCTCCAAGGGGAGCTCCTATGTGTCTCCCATTAAGGATAGCTGGAGGATTTGGGCAAAAGATTTCTAGAAAGAAAACAAGAGCTTTAAGTTCCATTAGAGTTTCACTTAAGATGACTGAAATATTAGTGACCTGTGACTGTGCTATGAGTATAATTTTTTTTCTTTTAGAAAAAATATAACTAAGGTGGATAGAATTTAAATCTGTAAGGCTTTTGTTGAGAGGCAACTAAGTGATGTGAGACCTAAATTACAGTTTATTGCAAAAGGCCAAAGACAGTGTTTTTGGACCATCCAGGTAGCTATGTTCATAATGAATTTGGAAAGTAATTATTTTTTTATATTTTTAAAAACGCCCATTTGGTTGTCTACTTTAAATCAGGCATAGTAAGATTCCTGGGTTGACAATGAGGTTCAAGACAGACAAAGTTTTGGCCATTGGAGACCATAAGTTCCAAGGAAATCTATGAACGTTAATAATCATGAACTATCATCTTTAGCAATGTAAATGTTTCTTGGTGATTCAAGACCATTATCATCAGGACCAACACCAAATTTCCAATGGCGTCATCAGACTACATTGGTAAGGCTCTTTTTACCTAGATTAAATGGTGCCAAAGAGTCTTTTTTTCTTTCTTCCAATTTATTAGCCATCATTTCTTCCTCCTTTTAGTCTGCTTAGAACAGTTCCTTCCCTAAAAGCACTTGATGCTTCTAATTTGATATGAATTTAGGAAGAGATGCCCAAGTTTATCAGAATTATATGTATAAAAAAGACTTAGTACATCAAACAATGATTGACTTCTTATGCTTGAATTTTACCTGTTTGTGTTTTCCTAAGTCTGTTTATATATTTATTTTCAGCTTTATATGTCTCTGTAAGGTTGAGTTTGTTGGATACTTGAGTTTCCTCAGGTATTCACTGTTCTTCACCGTAATACTCACCATAAAATATCCGAATTGATTTCTGTAAGTTATTTTAACACAATGCAAATTAAACATTTTCCAATAAGAAAAAAAAGGTTTAAAAAATTCTTGCCTTGCTTTAATAGACAGAATAGGGTAAATCAGTAATGTCTTAGTATGTCAAACATATACTCTTATCTAAGAGTTTCTGAATTCTTTCTGAATTTGGACATACTTTATTTAAGCAGATGGTTTGGAAACTTAGGACACCTCATCATTTCAGACACTGATTCATCATCCCAGCTCCTTCCTCTGTACTAATTTATCATATAACTCTGTTTTATTTTCTCCATAACATCCCTATTTAACTATCATTTTATATATTACAATTTTTAGAATTTTGATTACTTATTTTATCATTCTTAGTCTGCTTCCCAACAAGAAAATACACTCCAGGAAAGTAGGGAGGTGTCTTCACTATTCTTTTACTCTTCATTGCTTTTTCTACACATGGAAAGTCCTAGCACATGGGAAGCCCTATGTCATTAAATACTGCCGGCTAAAAAACAAGCTGACTAAACTGTTTATGATATGCGAGGGGATAAAAGAACATAAAAATTTGGCTGGGCATGGTGGCTCACACTTGTAATCCTAACACTTTTGGAGGCGAAGGTGGGAGGATAGCTTGAGCCCAGGAGTTTGAGATCAGCCTGGGCAATATGGCAAGACTCCATCTCTACAAAAAATAAAAAATTAGCCAGGTGTGGTGGCATGCACCTGCAGTCCCAACTACTGGGAGGCTGAAGTGGGAGGGTCACTAGAGCCCAGGCCATTGAAACTGCAGTGAGCTGTGATTGCACCACTGCAGTCTGTCCTAGGTAACTATCTCAAAAAGGAAAAAAAAATTAAGAAAGATTACTCCTTATAAGAAAACTAAAAATAAATGACTAACTAAAACGTGCTGCACCTTTATGTCATCTAGTTTCTTGCCACACATTCCACACAACATTAAACACTGTCATTAAACTAAGTGATTTACAGATTAGTAACAAATGTCAGAGAAGTCCTACAAGATGCTTCTTGAAATTCTTCCAACAAAGAAGTATTTTTATCCGAAATTTAGTTAAGTAAAGATCCAGACAACAAGTGATTCCATGCAGTAAACACACTGGAAAACAAAAATAAGGAGAGTTATCCAAACTACATAGTTCTTTCTACTCACGTTCACACACTGGAACACTGCTATTCCAAAGGGCTTTCATTCCAGCCAAGACACAATGACTAGCAAACCTGCCTTTTAATCGGAACCTAAAGAAAAAAAAAAGTGGTAGCAAATGTGTGAGCAATTCCCATCTCTCCCTTGATTTCTTCACTAATAGATGCTCAGCTTCCTCACTACCATTTCCTCTTTGACTATCATTTGGTTCTTAGGTTCCGGCCCAGCTAAAAGTCTAAATTCATTAGGGATCTGAATTCTTCAGTAGCTGGCAGAAACTCAAAGGCCAATTTATTCTAAAGAACCATAGTACCCTGTGACTGGCAAAGCAATTAGAGCTGATGTGCCATGTAAACTTCATAGCCCAGCATCATCTACAGAAGGCATGAACACAGAACCAGACTTCTCCATGGGCACAAGAGCCATAACCTTCAGGTGTCATATTTCACTGATGGCTCTCTGACATCCCACTTATTCTCATTAGTGGGTCATGAGGCAGAACAACTCTCGATTTGGTAAGCAAAGCCAGGAACATCTGGAAAGAGAACAGCCATTGTTTTTCTTGCCACTCCAAATATAATGGGCCAGAGGAGGCTCACAGAAGCATGCTGAACCACGTGCTCTAACAAACAAAGAAGGGTCGGGGGAAAAGTCTTTGCCACCCTGAAAAGCCTAACTTACTATTGAATCCTGCTTCCCTTCTGAAATCTAAAATCGTTCTGGAATTGGAAATCATTATTAGGTGGTGGACTTTGTAAATGCCAAAAAATCCTTGGAAATTATTAAAAATAACTCCTTAATTGCTCAATCTAGTTATCCCCCCAGACTCATAGTGTACCAAGAATAATGGATACACATAAACAACGAATAATACCTCACTTGACAGTGGTAGAAGCAGGAGGCAGACAAATCCTAGGCAGATGGGGCGGATCCCGATGAAACCCGACCTTCAAGCTGAAGACAGTTTAAAGCCTCGCTACAAGTTCCAGGTAAATCCATGGACTGGCTTGAGAACCTCTCTTCCCATTGGGTGTGCTTTCCTCTGATTGATCCCCACTCTTCATCTATTTCACATATACCTGCTCTTCCATAATTGGTTTTTTTGCACTGTTGTGCCCACCTTTGAGTGGTGGCTTTGCTTTAGCCTTTTTTGCACACTCACAAACAAATTAATACACACTTCCAATTCTGAGTCCATAAAAGCCCCAGAACCAGTCACACTGAGAGAATGACCTCCTGACTTCATCTGGGGTCCACCCTCGTGTCTCATCTCCCCTGAGAAGCTGTTTCGTCACTCAATAAAACTCTTCTCCACCCTCCTCACCCTTCTATTGTTAGCATAACCTTCTTTTTCTTGGCTGCAGGAAGAGAACTCAGGACCCACCAAACGCAGGTACGAAGAAGGCTGTAATACAGTGACCCTTTGCCCTCTCCCAGGGGAGGGCAGCTATTCCATGCAACAGGAAGCAGCAGCAGGTCAAGTCAGCCCTGGAGACGCAGGCCTGGCAGGGCGATGGGACTGACAGAGTTGTTAACACACTGCCATCTGTTGGGCTGCAGGCATTATCAAATGCTAAGAGCTATTAGCATGCTGTAACACCCCCTCTTGGCTTTGGGGTTGTGGGGACCCCTGTTTGGGCACCACCACGTTTCCTTCAGTGCGACATGACTGGTTCAGCTGCAATCCCCACACGGAGCCCGCTCCTGTGCCAGTGCTTGGTGCAGCCAGCCAGAACCCACACTTGCTCACTACACACCCCCTCCTGCCAGAGGCTGAGCATGTAGTCGTGGCAGCCACAGGATCTGCATCAGAGCCCAAGCCAGGCACGGCCTGGGAGGGTCGAGTAGATGGGGTGTCTCCTGCGTTGATCCTGGGCCGAGCAAGGCCTGGGCAGGGCTGTTTCTGGCCAAAGGTCACCAGCTGGCAAAGTGGCTGAGAAAAATCTTGCATCAAAACAATTACACTGGCCATTCTTGACATGAAGATATGTAATTGGGTTATACTTATCCATACACTATTACATATTTCACTTTTGATTGGTTTTAAGTTTCCTAAAACAACCTTTGCCTTATTATGAGGCAAACAATTTTCGTCTTACTCATCTTTTTTTCTCTAGTATACATTTTATAAAATTATGTTCTTTTGCCTCCAAATAAATACATACCCATTCATTTCAAGTTCCAACTGTGGACTCAAGATCAGTGACTGTATTTAGGTTTGTACCTGACATTGAGCTGTATGTGCCATTTTCTCATTGTCTTCTGAAAGTGGTGCCACTTAGTCCCTACCCTTATTTCAAAACTACCCTTCCATAAATTCATCTGTCTGGGTACGTCTTATCTACTAGGTCGGCTCCTGGTTTGGATTAACCCCTGATCTCAGGGGAGTGATTCTCCGCACTGAATCCTGGGTCTCAACTCTGGGTCACACTCACCCTTCATCGCAAACAAAGGACACCTTTGCTCCAAGCTGGAGATTGAGTGGAAACAGCACACGGCCATGAGGAAGTTGGCCCAGGAAGTCATCACAGGATTTCACTAGAAGAAAAATAAAACAACAGGAGTAAGACCTCCATGTGAGGGGGAAACAGCAATCTGGAAGCCAGAGAGTCAAGGCACCTGTACATATGGGGGCTTCAGGGTTCCAGTCTCCCTGGGGCGTGCAGTGCAGAGATGCAGCCCCTCTGAGGTCATAGCCGGGCTCACAGCTGTAGAACACTTCCTGCCCAGGTGAAAAGTTGTCCTGATGGCTTGGAGTGTGCTCACCATGCAGGATTTCTGGAGGCAGCTGACACACTGTGGAAAGGACAGTTCCAGAGTACTTGTTACTTACGGGGGAATTTCTTTTGCTATACCCTATGCTTGCTGAAGGCCTCATAGCTAGTAAAAGGTAGAGATATAGAACCCAATTCTCCCTAGCACAAGGCCCCAAACTCACTTGTAAATCTACAGGGTACAAGGTATTTTCTCCTAGCTCTGGCTATCCAATGTGGAGTTATTAGTATTGGTGGATTCTCCATCTACATATTTCCTAGGAAGGTAATCCCGATTTGTACCATTGTTATTCAGGTAATGAGACTGTCACCTGAGACCAAGTCTGTTTTATAGATTTCCTCCCATTTCTCTGATAGCACACCTATGACTAAAGTGCAGTCATACTGTTTCAGGACAGGCATGACCCTAAATTGGGGCTTACTCTGGAAGGGTTCTTGCCTCACCCAGGACAGAATTCAAGGATGAGCCAGTGGTGCCGGACAGCAATCTTTTAGAAAGGCACTGCCCCTGCAGAGCAGGGCTAACTCACAGGCAGTACACTCAGAGTCAGCAACATATGAGCTCCTGGCAGCCAACTGTATTTATACTCCTGTAAGCCCGCTTCAATTACATGTAAATTTTTTTTTTACTCATTTGTTTATTAATATAGAAAAGGAGCCCAGGGCAGCTGGACCAGTAGTACAAAGCACCAGGAGTTAATACCATTCTGGTGACAGGGTTGGTTTTACAAAAATGAAGGAGCAGACGGGAGCTGCCAGGTTCTGAGGCCAGGCCCAGCCTACTGCCCAGAATCCCTGAAACAGCTCCCTGGGAGAGGGCTGACAGGTGGGTCAGGGTGGATTGAGCTGGAAACCATGGGGACAGATGGGAGGGATAGAGGGTCATGCAGTGGGAACCACTCAGTGGCTGACAAGGACAGGGAACTGGTGGCTGGAGGCTCCTCGTTGGGCCATGGGTAGGGGCTTGCAGATGGCCTCAGCTCTGGGGCCAGGTAGAGAAACTGCGAGACTGATGGGCATGGAGAACCCAGACATAGCACTGGGGCTGAAGGGCCTTTCTACCCTTTCTTCCACCTTTGCTCTATACTACATGTGGGGCTTCGGGGCCTAAGGCACGGGGGAGGCTCAGAGGCTTCCAGTTAGGAGGAAGATGGGGCAAGGAAGGAAGCACTTGAGTGTCCCTAGCTTAGGCAGCCAGGGATGAGACACAGGTGGGACAACAGCACCCCCACATAGTGGGGCTAGAATGTGGGGCAGGGAAGAGCTTTTCCTCAGCCAGTGACCAGGACCAGCCCCATGGCAACGATGCCTGTCTGGAGCCTTAGCAAATCAAGTGTGCAACAAGCACAGGGTGTCGGCAGACCTGGGCCCCAGCCAGAACTTGAATCACACAGAGCTGTATCACCATGGTCCAGCCATGTCCTGCCTTGGCCTGTTTCCTCCTCTGTCAATGAGAGCTTTGAATAAGACCTTCTAGGTCATGAAAAGGACTCTGCAGGTGAAGGGAACTCCAGGACCTGCTCTTGGCGGTTAACCAGACCCTGGATGGAACTGGTATGGGATGGGGTGAAGTGGGGCATGGAGGAGGAAGGTGTTCTTGCAGGGAACCTATCCCACAAACACTGCAGAGCTAGGAAAGGCCACTGGAAGCCCTTCTTTGCCCAGAGGAAGAAAGGCCACAGAGAGAGCGAATGTGGCTCGGTGCAATCCCTTCACATCCTCCACCATCTGGGTAACACTTGGCAAGAAGTGGATGGGTGACATTGTGCAACCCTTTATGTTCTTCCCCAGGGGTGGCACTGAAGGCCTCTTGTGGCTTCTGCCTTCAGCCTTTAGTGTGGGATCAAGAGTGTTCTTTTCACTGTGGTCCTGTTCTGGGAACAGCCTAAGACTCTGCCTGGCTGGCACATGTTAGTTGGTGAGGAAAGGACAGAGTGGGTGAGTAAGCAGACAGGGAGGCAAGAGTGACTCTCTGGCTTTCTCCTCTTCCTCTTCAGAGAGCGACTCAATCAACTGAGTCGCAGATCTTCTCCACTACAGCATTGAAGATGTGTGGCTGGTCAGCATAGACGTGGTGAGATGCACCCTCAATCTCCATGTCTCCGACATAGGAATCCGGCCCCTGCATCTTCACCTTTTTTCCCGTACTGGTATCTATCCAGGTGTTGGACCCATAGATCATGGTGATGGGCACACCTTTTCAAATCAAGTGAATTCGCTCCAGCATAGGGTGCTGGGCCCAGCCAAAGGACTCCATCATGGCTTTGAATACCGTCTCACCACTGGGATTCTGTGCATTGCAGTGATAGATATACTCTGATATGGTATCATCTTCAAAGAAGTCTACAAACTTGCGTTTGAATCCGGCGAGAATCGCTGCACCAGGCCAGGCCCCCAGGGCCCAGCTACTCGAAGAACAGCCAATGGATTGGAACGTCCTAGGACAGATGCCACAGCTTTGACCCAGGTTGGGGGTGCACGGATCTCACTGGGGTTAGTTGGTCAGAGGGGAAAGCCCCATGAGTCCACCAGGATGAGGTGTTTAACTCTATCAGAGTACTTGATTGAGTAAGAAGTGGCCAGGAATCCTCCCAAACTGTGCCCCAGGAGGGTCATGCTGGGGATCCCTATGGTCTCCTGCCACGTCTCTATCGATGTCACAAACTCATCCTCAGCCCCCTCCAGGTCCCTCGGGAATGCTGGCCTTGAGCATCGCCCGAAGTCAAGCAGATGGAAGGTGTGCAGTGTGCAGCGGGCACTCAGTGAGTCCATGTTGAGGACCCAGAGGCCCACGCTGCCCCCAAAACCGTGCACCATCACCAGCGGGGTGTGGTCCTTTTGCTCGGGGCTCATAGTCACTGTCCAGATCTTATTCTGGTTTGGGAGGGATACATATCTGGCCAGGAACTTATTCTGGAGACACTGGAGGATCCTGGCTTCCACATTCTTCAGCTGAGACATGGAAGTGGGGCGCCACGTGGGCAGCCAATTACTCAGCCAGCCTTGAGGATGCTGCTCCAGATCATCGGCCATAGTAAACAACTGCTTTCTGTTTTGTGTGTCTGCGTTTTTTTTGTTGTTGTTGTTGTTGTTGTTTTTGAGGTGATATCTCACTCTATCACCCAGGCTGGAGCACAGTCGTGTGATCTTGGCTCACTGCAACCTCTGTGTCCCAGGTTCAAGTGATTCTCCTGCCTCAGCCTAATGAGATTTCAGGCGTGAGCCACCTCACCCAGGTAATTTTTATATTTTTATTAGAGACAGGGTTTCACCATGTTGGGCAGGTTGGTCTTGAACTCCTGACCTTAGGTGATCTGCCCATCTCGGCCTCCCAAAGTGCTGGGATTACAGGCATAAGCCACCATGCCCGGCCAGTTACATGTAAGTTAAGGGGCATATCAATGCAAATTGAGGGGGGTGTTATTTAGAACTTTCCTGGAAAGGGGTGGTAACTTCCAGGTCGTTGCCATGGCATTTATAAAATGTCATGGTGCTGATGGGAATATGAGGGCAGCTAGCGATTGCTTTCATTGCCATCTGCCTGTTCCTGCTGTTTTTTTCACTTCATCCTATCTAGGACAGATTCTGTTTTGGTCAGCAGGATTGTGACCAGAACACAAGCCCTGCCAATCTCCTACCTCAATACATCCGTCCTTATATCCCTTTATCTGTTTGTCTTCCCAGTTCAGTGGTTGCACAAGGCTAACATGGGTTGGTAGAAGAATGGTAAGCTCTTTCTCTGTCCCTATGTATCAGCCATAACACCTCCCACTCAGCTGCTAAGCCAGCTATTGTGGCATCAGTAGACAAGATGAGCCATCAAAAACACAAGGCCTTAAATAAGCCAGTGTTGTTGTAAACAATAAATGAGATAATGTATATAAAGCGCTTAGGGCACAGCTGACTATAAAGTCCATATAATTTTTCAATATAATTGAGAGAGATTGGAGCTGGTACTTTGCCCTGAGAACTGATTAATAGGTGAGTCCAAAATAGCTTTTTTTCTGGCTAATTAAGGTCTTGCTTTTTAAAATGAAGACACATATGCTGGGTGCATGCACACCCCCGATTCTTAATTTCATGCTTCTTCCCCCCCCAAAATTACTTTCCCACCCTCCTCACCACACATCCCTCCCCCGAACAAATACTAATCTCCTGATCCAACAGCAATGCATGTCATTTGCAGGGACCTTCTAGGCCTCAGTTAGACTCACCCCTGGAGCAGCTTGGTAACTCTGGCTCCCATTTGTTCAGGGCCTGGCATTGCACATGGTGGGGTCCTTTCATGACAAAGCCAGGCTGACACCTAAACTCCACAACTTCATTTAAGGAAAATAAGCTTCTGTTGACAGACACCAGTATTCCATTTTCCACATTTGGAGGCGTGCATTTGTTAGGTATAATGCACTGAGGGGCTGGGCCGCTCCAGATGCCCACTTGATCATCTTTGCTGGTGCAGTATATAGAGGGCTCACCCACGAGCTCAAACACCTTTCTCCCTCCGCTTCCAAGATTGCAGTGGTAGGTCACCACAGATCCATAGTGAAAATACTCTCTGTTAGTGCTGAAGAAATCTCCATTGGTGATGTTGGGGGGTAGCCCACAAGTAATTCCTGGCAAAAGAGATAGCAAGTTAACCAAAACAAAACCTTGGGACAGAGTCTTGCTCTGTCACCCAGGCTGGAGTGCAGTGGCACGATCACGGCTCACTGCAACCTCCACTTCTTAGGTCAAGCAATCCTCCCCACTCAACCTCCCAAGTATCTGTGATTACAGGCACTCACCACTGTGTCTGGCTTATTTTTGTATTTTTAGTAGAGATGGGGTTTGGCCATGTTGGCCATGCTGGTCTTGAACTCCTGGCCTCAAGCAATCCACCTGTCTCTGCCTTCCAAAATGCTAGGATTACAGGTGTGAGCCATCGTGCCCTGCCTGGTTTCTTAAAATTATACTTTATTGTAAATTATGCTAACAGCTTTTTGGAAATCCCAAATTACTGGAAGTAAATATCATCTAATATTTGCTAATGTACAGATATATTCTAACAATTTTACAATATTATGAGTTCTGCTCTTTGTAGTTAACATTACTTTGCTAAATGTGTCCATATATTATTATAGTCCATTTTTTCCCTTTTTTTTTTTTTTTTTTTTTGTTAGACGGAGTCTCTGTTGCCCAGGCTGGAGTGCAGTGGCATGATCTTGGCTCACTGCAACCTCCTTTTCCTGGTCTCAAGTGATTCCCCTGCTGCAGCCTCCCAAATAGCTGGGATTACAGACATGCACCACCATGCTCAGCTAACTTCTGTATTTTTAGTAGAGATGGGGTATCACCATGTTGGCCAGGCTGGTCTCAAACTGCTGACCTCAAGTGATCCACCTACCTTGGCCTCCCAATGTACTGGGATTACAGGTGTGAGCCACTGTGCCTGGCCTATAGTACACATTTATATTTCTTCTGCTAAATGAGAATTTAACTATGTTATCTCACCATTATTAATTTAGTTCTCTCTATATAGAATGCATTTGTCTTTATTCTATTGGTTATTAATATAATAAAGCATATAGCACAGCTTTTTTTTTTTTTTTTTTTTTTGAGACAAGGCTTTGCTCTGCTGCCCAGGCTGGAGTGCAGTGGCCTGATCATGGCTCATTGCAGCCTCAACCTCTCTGGCTCAAGCAATCCTCCCACCTCTTAGCTCCCAAGTCGTTAGGACTACAGGTGTGTGCCAGTATGCTCACTTAATTTTTGTATTTTTTGTAGAGACAGGGTTTCACCATGTTGTACAGGCTGGTCTTGAACTCCTGGGCTCAAGCCATCTGCTCACCTAGGCCTCCTAAAGTGCTGGGATTACAGGTGTGAGCCACCACACCTGGCCCAGTATAACATCTTTATTAAATAATAAAAACAAAAAGCTCTGGCAGAACTAATAAAGACAAAGCACAAATACACAATATTACATATAATAAACACGATACTTACAGAAGTAATAAAAAGAACTGGATACTGATCTACAGCCATACCACCCTGAATGCACCCAATCTCGTCTGATCTTGGAAGAACTGAATACTGTGTCCTACTCTACCGTGGGGCAGTGCCCAGTCAGTATGTTGACCTTCTACAAAGTTTGTTCCCACTTATTCTCCCACCAACTGGGTTTGAAATTGCTGATTTCCTCACATCATCACCAAACCCAGGATTATACACATTTTATATTCCTTGTTAGCTTGCAATTACTCATTCCCTTTGCTCCCCAAAATGTAGAAAGCTCATCTTCCAAACAACTCACAGGGAAGATGGCATGATCCCATTTAGACAAAGAATAAGAAGGAAGAAAGAGCTGCATGGCTTGAATAGCCGATGTGATACTAAGAGCTTGCAGAGAGGATATAGGGTTTATTTCACTGACTTTGTATTTGTTGACTTCACTGAAGAAAATGCTCTTCAAACTGCGAGGTGTTCAACAGAGGAGGAAATTGGGGGCTGTTTAAATGAGCTCAAGACTAGTTTAAAATAAATTAGACCTTGAGATAAGAAAGAAAAGCATTTCTAGGTGAAGGTGGAAGTTTGGGATGCTGTGAGCCATTCTAAGGATATGACTGGATTCTTCAAATATCAGAAGGATACCATTTCCAAGAGGAATGAGATTCATTCTTTGTGATTCTAGGAGGACAACTCTAGGATTAAACAGTGGGGTGAATGGGGAAAGAGACTTCAACTCACGTTGACAAATTGGCGGCTTCGTGCTCCAATGGGCAGTATTGCCTGAGATGATACATTCAGCAGATGAGTGACCAATGAGTCGGTGCCTAAAGGCAAACAATGGAAAATAATTGTGCTGTACATGCCTCATCAACGTCCTCACAGCATGCATATGTGGCAAACCAGAAGGATTACAATGTAGGAGAAGTCTAAGGCCTAGCCTAAACTTTACTTATTGTTCCCAGCTTTTCTTCTTTTTCCTATTCTCTCACTATTGAAAAAAATATTTCTGCTCTAACTTCTCCTGGCCCACTTTGCTTCTTAATATCTTGGCTTCATTGTGGACTGTACCTGGCACCAAAATAAAAAAATATATTTTGTAGACCTGTTTGACAATTTTTTTTTTAAAGTTCTGTCTTTTCTCATATTATTTCTGCCATTTTTTGTTTGCATATTCCCTTAATCTGTGTGTGTGTGTGTATGTGTGTGTGTGTGTGTGTGTGTGTGTATAATACTATGTCATTTAATTTGAGGCATGCTTTTTATAAATACAAGATTTGTTGCTTTTGATCCTATCTAATAGACCTGGTTTTTTGACAAGAAGATTAAACCAAATGGATTGAAATAAATTATATATTTGATTTGCTTTTTTTGTTTGTTTGTTTGTTTAGACGGAGTCTTGCTCTGTCGCTCAGGCTGGAGTGCAATGGTGTGATATCTGCTCACTGCAACCTCTGTCTCCTGAGTTCAAGCCATTCTCCTGACTCATCTTCCCGAGTGACTGGGATTACAGGCATGTGCCACCATGCCCAGCTAATTTTTGTATTTTTAGTAGAGATGGGGTTTCACCATGTTGACCAGGCTGGTCTTGAACTCCTGATCTGAGGTGATCCTCCCACCTCGGCCTGCCAGAGTATTGGGACTACAGGTGTGAGCCACTGCGCCCAGCCATGTCATCATTCTTTCACTACCTTTTTCATGATTTCACAATGTCCAGTGATGAGGATGAGGAGAAAGCAATGAATAAAATGACCTGACCCAAACATGAGGGGGCTTATTTCCGATGACAGAGACAAATGCATTCCTTGCTATTCCTTTTCCTTCCCTCTTACTTACTATATGGAACAGATAGACTCAGCTGTTTTAATCATTCTAATAATTTGGAAATTAAACTTAATATTTTTTTCTAATTAGGAATTTAATTTTATATGTGTTCATGTATATTGTGTTTATATATGTGTGTGTATATATATATATATACACACACGATACATATATTTAAACCTACTTTCTGAATTTCAGAGTCAAATTCTGTATAGTCAGTCTACTCATGTTTTCTGTAAGTCTAGCCTGCCTTTTCTTGCTTTCTCACATTTTCTACTTCTATTGATATATTCTGTGACTTCACAGAGATTATTACTAAATTACAATTACATTGCCAGTTTTTGTGTTTTTTTTGTTGTTGTTATTGTTTGTTTTTACCACTTTTCTATCTCATTGAGATTTCTTTTGGAATTCATCATTCTCCTTTTTAAAAATTTGCTTATGAATTGCCTGGTAAGCATACTTAAATGGTACATTTTTTGTGTCTTTGCTTATCCTTTAATGTGTATCTGGAGCCTGTAGGTGTGAATATTAGCTTGGCTCAAGAGAAATGCTATCTTACACAATTTAGTGTTGTGCAGAATCAATGTGGTGGCAATAAACTTACTTCTTCTGCAGGTATTATATTTTTGCATTTTATTTCTGGAATCTGAGTTTTTTTCTCTATCCCTGAAACACAGAAATTTCCCTAGTAATGGCTAGGTATGGGCTTATTTACTTACCCTTCTGGAATTTTTTTTTACACGTATTTTGAATCCTAACACTGTCTTAAATATGTCTTCTCTTTTTTTTTTTTTTTTATTTTTTTAGACAGGGTCTCATTCTGTCACCCAGGCTGGAGTGCAGGGGTGCCATCATGGCTCACTGAAGCCTCAACCTCTCGGGCTCAGGTGATCCTCCCACCTCAGTCTCCTGTGTAGCTGTGACTACAGGCCACGCCGCCACGCCCAGCTAATTTTTATACTTTTTTTGTAGAGATGGAGTTTTGCTTTATTTCCCAGGCTGGTCTCGAGATCCTGGGGTCAAGTGATCCTCTTGCCTCAGCCTCTCAGTGTTGGGATTACAGGTGTGAGCCACTGTGCCTGCCTGTCTTCTCCTTTTCATCTTTTCCCACTGCATTCAGGGAAAATTTGGTTAACTCTTCTTACTCTTAGCTTTAATTTTCTGCAATATTCAGTGTTTATTATACACACACACACACACACACACACACACACACACACACACATGCAGACGCATGAAATGAAATATATAAACACACTGAATGCATATATTCATTCATGTACAAACTTCATGGCTAGTTTCACAAAATTATTTGTACAACTGAATCTTGTTAAAACTATGAAAAGGAGAGTGTTCTGAAAGTTTCCCTGGTTTCTTGGCAGTAAATCTCTTCTGTAAAATTTCTCCTGATTTTTAAAAATTGCTCTCTTTTACATGTATTTCCTGTTTTTTTGTCATAAGCTCAATGGTTTTCTACTTTATGCCATAGAGAGGTTCACACTTATTCAGCAATGCAAGATGAGGTAGGTACAGTTAGGAAATTTATCAATTGTATTTTTTAAAATGCTCAAAAAAAAAAAAAGAAAAAAGAAAAGAAAGGAGGACATTGGATTTATTCCAATTTTACTTTGTCAGATTCTGGGTGCTATGGTCTGTGAGGCCTAGGCTGGTAAATACGCTGGACACCACAAGCTTCCTTTCAGTGTTTGTTGCGGTGGCACAAACGTATCCCCTACTCACTACCTGGCTTAGCTGTTCCCATGAAGAGTGAGCTTGAGGCAGAGCCTCCACTGTGTGCTGAGCAAGGCTGAGCACCAATAACTGGGCAGTGCACTGTGAGCACCTGACGCTTGACATTTTCAAAGGGGCTCTGTTGTAGGTTGAAGTGTCTCCCCCGGATATGTTGAAGTCTTAATCCCCAGTCCCTGTGAATGTGATCTTATTTGGAAATACAATCTTTGCAGATGCAATCAAGTTAAGATGAGGTCACTAAGGTAGGCCCTAATCCAATATGCCTGATGTCCTGATAAAAAGGGAAAACGTTGGACACAGACATGCACAGAGAGGAGAACAGAATATGAGGACACAGACCCAGAGGGAAGATGGCCATGCGAGGACCGGGACAGAACAAATTGGAGTTCCGCTGCCACACACCAAGGCAGGCCTGGGGCTCCAGAAGCTGGAAGACGCAATGAAGGATTCTACCCTACAGGATTCAGAGGGAGCATGGCCCTGCCAACACCTCGATTTTGGACTCCCATCCTCTAGAACAGAACTCCAAAAACTTCTGTTGTATTAAGCCGCCCATTTTGTGTTACAGACATTCCTCAAGGATCTTGCAGGTTCAGTTCCAGAACACCACAATAAAACAAATATCACAACAGATGAGTCATATGAATTTTTTGATTTCTCAGTGAGTCTAAAAGAAGTTGTGTTTATACTATACGTAGTCTATTAAATGTGAAATAGAATTATATCTGAAAAAAGTCATACTTTAAAAAATGGTTTATTGATAAAAAATGCTAAAGATTATCTGACCTTCAATCAGTCGTAATCTTTTTGCTGGTGGAGGGTCTTGCCTCAAGGTTGATGGCTGCTGACTGCTCAGGGCGGTGGTTGCTGAAGGCTGGGGTGGCTGTGGCTATTTCTTAATCTAAGGCAACAATAAAATTTGCCACACTGACTCTTCCTTTCACAAATGATTTTGCTGTAGCATGCAATGCTGTTTGATAACATTTTACCGTCTGAACTGCTTTCAAAATTGGAGTCAATCCTCCCAGATATTGCTGCTGCTTTATCAACTGAGTTTATGTAATATTCTAAATCCTTTGTGGTCATTGTCACAATGCTAATGTCATCTTCACCAGGAAGAGACTCCACCTCAAAAAAAATCACTTTCTCTGCTCATTCATAAGAAGTAACTCCTCATCTGTTCGAATTTGATCATGAGATTGTAGCAATTCAGTCACATCTTTAGGTTCCGCTTCTAATTGTAGTGTTCTTGCTATTTCTATCACGTCTACAGTTATTTTCTCTACTGAAGTCTTGAACTTCTCAAAGTTATCCATGAGGGTTGGAATCAACTTCTACCAAACTCCTGTTAATGTTGATATTAACCTCTTCCCATGAATCATGAATGCTCTTAGTGGTATGTAGAATGACTACTTCTTTCCTGCACTTTTCAACTTACTTTGTTCAGATCCATCAGAAGAATTACTGTCTGTGGGAACTACAGCCTTACAAAATGTATTTTTTTTTCCTTTTCTTTTCTTTTTTCTTTGAGTTGAAGTCTCACTCTATTGCCCAAGCTGGAGTGCAGTGGCATAATCTTGGCTCACTGGAATCTTCACCTCCTGGGTTCAAGCGATTCTTCTGCCTCAGCTTCCCGAGTAGTTGGGACTACAGGCACATTCCACTATGATGGCTAATTTTTGTATTTTTAATAGAGACGGGGTTTCGCTATGTTGGCCAGGCTGGTCTTGAACTCCTGACCTCGTGATCCGCCCACCTTGGCCTCCCAATGTGCGGATTACACCGCCCCTGGCACAAAATGTATTTCTTAAATACTAAAACTTCAAAGTCAAAATTACTCCTTCAGCCATGGGCTGCAGAATGGCTGCTGTTGTCAGCAGGCAGGAAAACCACATTCATCTCCTTGTCCATCTCCATCAGAGTTCTTGCCTGATTAGATGCAAAGTCAATGAGCTCTATGTAACATTTTGAAAGGAATCTGTTTTTCTGAACACTAGATCTCAACAGTGAGCTTAAAGTGTTCAGTAAACCATGCTGCAAACATACCTCTGTTGTCAGGCTTTGTCGTTCCATTTATAGACACAGGCAAGGCACATTTAGCATAATTCTTAAGGGCCCTAGGATTTTTAGAATGGTCAGTGAGCATTGGCTTCAACTCAAAGTCACCAACGGCATTAGCTCCTAAAAAGTCAGCCTATCCTTTGAAGCTTTGAAGCCAGGCATTGGCTTCTCCTCTCTAGCTATGAAAGTCCAATAGATGGCTGTTTTGCCTATGTAGAGAATCTGCTATTTATTTTAACACATTCATCAATGATCTTAGATCATCTGGACAACTTGCTGCAGCTTCTACATCAGCACTTGTTGCTTCACCTTTCACCTTTATGTTATGGAGATGACTTCTTTCCTTAAACCTCAAGAACCAACTTCTGCTAGCTTCCAGCATTTTTTTTTTGAGATGGGGGTCTCACTCTGTCGCCCAACCTGGAGTGCAGTGGCACAATCTCGGCTCACTGCAACCTCTTCCTCCCGGGTTCAAGTTATTCTCATGCCTCAGACTCCCGAGTAGCTGGAACTACAGGCAACCTGCCATCATGCCTGGCTAATTTTTGCATTTTCAGTAGAGATGAGATTTCACCATATTGGTCAGGCTAGTCTTGAACTCCTGACCTCAGGCGATCCTCCCGCCTCTGCCTCCCAAAGTTCTGGGATTACAGGTATGAGCCACTGTGCCCGGCTGCTTCCAGCTTATTTTCTGCAGCTTCCTCACCTCTGTCAGCCTTCACAGAATTGAAGAGAGTTAGGGCCTTGCTCAGGATTAGGCTTTGGCTTAAGGAAATGTGTCTAGTTTGATCTTGTATCTAGAGCACTAAAACTTCTTCCATATCAGCAATAAGGCTGTTTCACCTTCTTATTATTCATGTGTTCACTGGAATAGCACTTTAAATTTCCTTCAAGTACTTTTGCTTTGCCTTTACAACTCTCCAGCTGTTTGGCACACGAGGCCTGGCTTTTGGCCTGTCTTGGCTTTCAACGTAACTTCCTCACTAAGCGTAATCATCTCTAGCTTTTGATTTCAAGTAAGAGATCATGACTCCTCCCTTCATGTCAACACTTAAAGGCCATTGTAGGGCTATTAATTGGCCTAATTATAGTATTATTGTGTCTCAGGGATTAGAGAGTCTTGAAAAGAGGGAGAGAGAAGGGGACTGACTAGTCCATGGAGCAGTCAAAGCATGCACATTGATTAAGTTTTCTGTCTTATATGGGTGCCGTTCGTAGGGATCCCAAACAATGACAATAGTCACATCAAAGATCGCTGATCCCAGATCACTGTCACAGACATGATTTGGGATATTGTGAGAATAACCAAAATGCTATACACAGACACGAAGTCAACACACACTGTTGGAAAAATGATGCGTCTGACATGCTTGTCGCAGCGTTGCCACAAGCCTTCAATTTGTAAAAAGCATAGTATTTGTGATGTACAATAAAACGAGAAAGGCCTGCACTTGGTGACGGCAGCCCTAGCAAGCGATCATGCTGTTACCAGTAGTGGCTGTTTGTTCTCTCACACAGCCACTACATGCCCTTCCCTTTCTTCCAGCAATGCCTACTCTGCATCAGGGTTGTTTGTGTGCTTTGACTACTACACTCCTATTTCTTTTCCCTTCCCATCCAGTGAATGGCATACTCTTTATATGTGCACTGCCCTGGTTTTCAGCAAGGATACATATTTTTCCCCTAATCTTCTTCTATCTTTGTTCATTTCAATCATGAGTTGATACCTGTGTTCAAGCCTCTTAAAAGCAGGTGGCAATAGCCTAGTTTCCTTCCTGAGATGTGGTTAGAAGGTAGTATTGCTGTGCTGGAACTCTTGAACCAAGAGATGTTGCTGCCAACTCACCCTGTAGTACAAGAATAGTTGATTCTGGATCCAACCTGGATGTCTGTGATCACATGCACTGTGCCATTCACTGGATCTGGAGGAGTTTTACATGATTTACCTATGGGAAAGAAAGTATTTTGGAGCCAGGTAGAGTAACCTGAACTCTCTTCAGTACATAAGGTCTCAACCTGCATGTAGGTTCCTGAAGAAAATACGCAGTTCTGATGGTTCCACAGATTTTGCCACCTTGAGAAAACTCATCAGAGCGCCTAAGGATCAGCCACCTACGAAGTCCCACTTTCAAAAAGACCTTCCCTCCAGATCTAACTAGATCTAGATTTAGATCTGTGTAGAGACCTTGCATCCCTTATCAGAATGTAAAAGTCATTTATGACATTATATACTACCAATGTATTTCAAAGTTTTCAAAGGATTTCTTCCCACCTAGTCATTCCAACAGAATTTTTCTTCCTACACACTTTTTATTTCCTAATTTAGAATCGTTTGTTATTTACTTTCCCATAGGGATTGAAGATTTTCTCTACAAATATTCCTTGAAACATTCTCATGAAGTGAGCATTTCAAGCAATAATCAAAGATGACCTACAAGAAAAACTCTTACATCCACCCATCTGAACACTTTTCAAAAAAGGTTTCTCATATCCCACATTTGAAAAAATTAAATAAGAAGCTTTGGTAGACATGGGAAAGACACAATGCAAGTTTACTCACGTTTACAGACACCTTTGGGACTCGACCACACCAGGTTATCTAGACATGTGATAGAGAATGGATTCTCGTAGTACTCAGGACGGCATTCGTACTTTAAAGATGTCCCAATGGGAAAGTCAGATGCATTGGTTTGGGTTTTCAACTTAGCAAATGGAAAATTATCTGGGGCTTTACAGTTACCTAGAGACCATGAAATCAAGAATATCTGAGTTAATAAAAATATACCCAATGTGTTTCTTCTTTTCTCTCCCTTGGTAGATTTGATGACAGAAGAAAAGAAATTTCTAGTTATGAAAAAAAAAAAAAAAAACAAGAAAACACAACACCAAAAAACTTCCCTGCGTGTTTGAAGGGAAGCTTCCATTAACATAGGCTTATAAGGAAATATATTATCTGGAAGGCTAGTCTGCTATCTGGTCTTTCTACTCATGTAATTTATTTTATTTTATTTTTTCTATTTTTAGTAGAGTTGAAGTTTCACCATGTTGGCAGGCCAGTCTTGAATTCCTGACCTCAAGTTATCTGCACCCCCCTTGGCCTCCCAAAGTGCTGAGATTACAGGTGTGAGCCCCTGCAGCCAGCCAGCCTATTTTTATTTATTTATTTATTTTTGAGACAGGGTCTCTCTCCATTACCCAGGCTGGAGTGCAGTGGCACAATCTCAGCTCACTGCAACCTCTGCCTCCTAGGCTTAAGTAATCCTCCCATCTCAGCATCTTGAGTAGCTGGGACCACAGGCACATGCCACCATGCTCAGCTAATGCTCGTATAATTTAAGGTAAGGATAGCTCCGATTTAATTTTTCACATTTTTAGGAAGCCAGAAAGAGTATTCCTGCTCAGGTTCCACCTTTTGTGTCTGGTTTCTTTGTACTTCAAGGCATCAAAACTCCAATGAGAGGCTGACAAGCATGGGCAAGAACTCAAGACATTTCCTGGCAGGAGCCACTGATTTTCTAGGTCAGATTTCTAAGCCAAACATTTCAATAAAGAGATTCACCAGCATTTGTTTTTAATTCATATGATTCTAATGAAAGACATTTCCATCACTCACCGCCTCCTTCTTTTTTTCACCAGCCCCTCCAGCTGCAAAGGTCATCAGGATCTGATGTGTTGACCTACCTTAGAACCATTTGTCATTGGTTTGGCATTCCATTGTGGCAAATGCACAAAGAAATACCACATTGTAATTATGGAAATATGGAGGGCCTGCGTTAGATATTCTGAACCCATTTGGGATGTGGGGAAATGAGCACTAACCCAGAATTCCACAGCGAGGGGCGGGGCTGCTCCAAACCCCATTCCCTTGAGGGTCACTTGTGCAGCGGATGGTGCTCTCCCCAGTGAGGTCGAAGGTCATCCCTCTGTCTGGGTGGGGGTCACATGTGTAAGTTACAGCTTTTCCAAAGGGAAAGACTTCCAGAGGTTTTCCTGTGTGTCTCCCATTAGGAATAACTGGAGGACTTGGACAAAAGATTTCTGGAAAAAAGACAAAAGCCCTAAGTTTCATTCAGGAGTTTCCCCAGAGGTATTCTGCAATTACAGGGTACTATGATTGGTGTTGCTGAAAATATACTAAGGAGGTGACAGTAGACATTAGGCCTTTGAAGAGTTGGATTAAATGAGATGTCATTGAAAGCGTATTGCAAAGTGCAAAAGAGATTTTTCTATCCTGAATCTTCCAGATAGTAACGGTTCCTGGACAATAGAAACTTTACAATTTTAATGAAGTAGCAAAACATTTGAAGAAGAAAAATAACCACTTTGAAGTGTTACTCATTCATTAGTCAATATATATTAATTGAGCACTTGTCCTGTGTCAGTCACTTATCAGGATCCTGGGGATGCAGTGCTCAGGAAGGAGCCTACGTTCTTGGGAAATATTTCTCAAATGCATATATGTGTGCTAATCATCTTAAATAGGTGAAAACTTTCACTGATTACTTATTGATACTGATCATCAACCTCTGTGATAACATTAGCCCTGTCACAGTGAACTGAAACGTAGTCAGGCCATTATAAAAAACTCCAAATGGATTCAGATTGCTTTGCTTTTGAAAATGTCTAGGTCTGTTGATTTATTTTCTCTTTTTACTTTCTGGGTCAGGTTTCAAGTTGTTACTCCTTTCTAGCATCTATTGATTTCTTTAGAACAGTCTCTCCCTCATTTCTAATTGGTGTTTTTCCTTAGAACTGGAATTTGAAAGAAGCTACTTTAACTAGCAAGAGTTATGAAAAATAAGAGAAAGTTTGAGTAGTCAGTCAATGAGCTTTCATGCATGATAGTAGCACAGACATTTGTCATGCTGCTTCAAGGAGCACTGGATTAGTTAGACAGCAAGAATCTCTATATAAGTTTTGTTCTTACAAAATTTTCCTCTAAAAAGCACTGTAAGATGTCCAAGTATATTTCTAACAACACAAACATTTTAGTAAAATTTCATGGTTTTCTAAAGAAACATGTTTTCCAATCGTTAGAATCAAGAAATGAAGCAAAGTTCTATCTACCATTGGGGAAATTATAAATGGGTAGACTAGGAGAAATCAGTAGTCTACTGATTATTGAACATATGAGGCTCATTTTGAAAAAGTGACTTATTATTTATGAATCTCTCAGCATAAATTATTTGGATACATGTTTTGAGAATTTAAGGAGTCTCAAACTGCTCACTCTGTCTAATGTTACTCCCCACTTTTCCCTCATTCTTGATTGCTTTGATCTATTATCTATAGCACCTAATTTTTTTTTTTTTTCCTTGGCCTTCTCCCCACCTGAGTAAAATATGAGGACAGGGACTTCACTCATCTTGTTCATTGCTGTAACTCCAGTGGCTAGATGAACAGAGGCACAAAGTATGTGATCAATAAATAATTGATTAAATAAAGGCATGTTTAATATTTGTGTATTATCAAATATATACACAAATTGTAGACTGACTGCACATTGATTGGAGAAAAAAATGAAAAAGAAAGAAGGAGGGAAGGAAGGAAGGAAGGAAGGAAAGAGAGAGGGAGATAAGAAGGGAAAAAAAACTGAAGGAAGGAGAGAAGAGAAGAAAGAAAAGAAGTAGAGAAAGAAAGCAAATTGTTAAAGCTTCACATTATCTAATCTCTCCTGACCTAGAAGCACACTACCATAGGATTTATCACAATAAAACAGAATACAAAATGACAGACAGAGATCAGATGGTTCCAAAGACAGGTGATGTACACATTGATTCACAACAAAATATTATTAAAATAAGCAATTTTCAAATCAATAATTCAGACTAGAAAATTGAAGAACCACATTAGGGGAGGTCATGGGTCAAATACTGAACCAATGAAGGGGAGAGACTGGCCTGAAATGTTACTCCTATTACTCACGTTCACACACGGGAACACTGCTATTCCAAAGGCTTTCCATTCCAGCCAAGACACAGTAACTAGCAGAGCTGCCTTTTAATCGAAATCTAAAGAAGAAAATAGTAGTGAATAGTGAGCCAAGAGGCCACATAGTTCACAATCTAAGGCCCAACCCCAAATCTCAGGATTTTGAGGACCTGAGGCCAGCAGGTGACAGATGTGCAGAGGGTACATTATTCTGGAAAAATCACAACCTCCAGAAGGGAGCAATATAGAATGACAAAATGCAGTAGCTTGGTCACATGACAGTCCTGCTTGAATTGAAAAAGGTGGTCACAAAATAGCCACCATCTTCTTGACCCAGGACCCAGGCTTGGAGTTTCACTGATTACTCATTGTCATTATAAGAAACCCAGTCTTCTAATGCAATGCCTTCCTAACTCTGAACTTGGAAAAGCAAATAAAACAACTCCCAGTTTGGACTGGAAAAGTGAGAAATAGCTGGTGAGAGAACAAAGATTGTCCTTTTGTCTCCACATCTGTGATGGCATGAAGAAGGCTCACAAGGGCAGTTTGGGCTGCTGAAGAGTAAGCGTGAATATTCTAGGGGAAAAAGGAAAGAAGAGAGGACTTGATTTTTGTCTGCAATCATCAAAAATTCTCAATGTCTTTTGGGCCCCAATGCCCTTCTAAATCTTACTGGGTGCTGGTATTTGGAGGCTGCCAAGATTCTGTGGAACATTTTGGGATCAGGTGCTTTGTTGCCCATGCTGGTCAGCTCCCATGTAGAGATGTGCACCCTATGAAGAGCACTAGATGGACATAAACAAGTTAATGATCTTGCCGGAAATATTAACAGCAGCCATCAGGACCCCAGCTCAGAGCCCAGAGCCCATGACTAGCAAGACGATATATGACTGAATTTTTAAAAATTGCTAACTTTTTACACTTTCAGTCCTATTACAAATTTCATTATTGATGGTTTAAAGAATTTACTGAAATGATTCTTAAATGATCCTAGATCTTTAGAATAAGCTTTTTGTTACTTGTATTTTTTTCTGGGAATCTCTAAATTACTCATATTCCTTTTTGCTGTTTTGAAATTCTAAAATTTTGAAAATAGGATTTTTTAAACTTACGCTGTTACCTATATATTCATAATAGTAATTATACTTGCCTTTGAACTTGCCAGTTAATATATGGCCCAGTGTCCTCTTCATATCTCATGTTATTAGTTCTATATGTTTCTTTCCTTTCTTCCTATTTATGCTTTCAAAAGTTCATCTCTCTGATTGCGTGTGTGTCTGTGTCTGTCTTTTTAAAGCCACATCAAATCTCCCCTTTTGGGACTAATTCCTAACCCCAATTTCAATGTCCAGCAAGCTCATACTCACCCTTCATCACAAACAAAATCCACTTTTGCTCCAAGCTGGAAATTAAGTGGAAATAGCACACGGCCATTAAGAAGTTGGCCCAGGAAGTCATCACAGGATTTCACTGGAGAAAAAGAAAAATGAATGGAAATAACTGGCATGTGCAGAATAAAGACGCAAGCTAAAAATATCAAGCCAGATAAGAGTCTAGGCACCTTCACATCTGGGGGCTGCAGGGCTCCAGTCTCCCTGGGGTGTACAGCGCAGAGACGCAGCCCCTCTGAGGTCATAGCCGGGCTCACAGATGTAGAACACTTCCTGCCCAGGCCAAAAGTTGTCCTTGTCCCTTTGGGTATGCTCACCATGCAGGACATCTGGAGGCAGCTGACATACTGGGAAGAGAGAAACAAAGTACTGCTAATTGTGTGAAAATAACTTTTTTCTCACTGTTAAATTGGCCAAGGGAATAATAATTACAAATCTGTATATAATAAAAAAGGTAGAATAACAGCCTTATTATATTGATAACAAACTAAATACACAGGGCAAGGAAGATGTCTTGCCATTAGTCATAGAACTGACACATTGCAGAACTGTGACTAAAACAGAGGTATCCTCAATTCATTGCTTTTCATCTAAAGTATGCAACTAACATTCCGCAATGGACAGTTCCTTGTAGAATGCTTCCAATTACTGTTCACCCAGTACAAAATTGGGAGAAATGATGGATTTTTATATCTTTGTACTTCCTTTCTAGAAAGGCATCATCAATTTAGTCTTGCATTTTAGGCAATAAAGGAGTGCCCCTGCCCATGTCGCATCTAATAGGTCCCTCCGTCACCTATCACACCGGTGCAACAAACAGCATCCACACATCTATTCTCATCTCCTGTCAAGGCTTCTCTCAGCGGCCACCTGACATAAGGTGGTAACGAACTATGGGCCTCTCTTCACGCTACGAAGCAAGGTGCTGTCTAGTCATTAATTTCACTCCAGTGAGAAGATGGGCAACTGTTGAACAAAATCTAAAAGACCTACTGTCACCATAATGAGAGTGTATATTTCAGGCAACATATTGTAATGGTAGCACTGGCTCTCTCTTAATATAGTTGATCTGAACTCAGGAAATCAGAACACATTTGGGTCTCAACTAAATTACATGAAACTGCTATAAAATGGAAAAAATAATTTCAGTTTGGCTTTGAGCAGACCAGTTCCCTTTTCTGGACTTCAGTTTTCTCAAGCATCTGGGGCACTGGACTAGAAAAATGACTTCTTTAAGGAGTTTGTAAATACTCTGATGCTGTAATGTCCATTTTCAGGGTTCATCACCCAGTGTTTCCTTGACTAATCAATGCCTGGTGATGTAATATTGAGGTGCTGTGCTGGATAAATTTTTGTTGGCTCCCAGTCTCACACTTTTGGACTGTCTTTTGGCTGCTAGCAATGGAAGCCTTAAAACTACAATCATTCATCTTCCTTGATAGCTGGGCTCTGGTTAGGTTCTGCCAGTTGGAGGCATATATACCGAATTAAAAGGCAGGATGAGAGTAGAATCTGTTCTACTTCTAGAGGTGGCTCAGGCAGTGGCGGTATAGATGGCTTCAGTGAGCAGTTACAGCTTCAGTTCTGGCGATGCCAATGACGTTGGCTCCAGCAATATCAGCTGCATTCTGGCAGCAGTGGTGGTTCCTGCAGCATTAGCAGCTTTCAGGGAGCTGGCTGCTCGGTGGGAGGGGCTGGCCATTTCAGCATCAGTACAGGCTCCTGTGCTCTAGACTGGCAGCCACCGTAGCTCCCTGATCTCTGGTAACTCTGCCTTCGTCTTATTGCTTTTCCTGCCCTTCTAACATCTTTGTGACCTATTAGCTGTGATATGGTTTGGCTCTGTGTCCCCACCCAAATCTCATGTCAAATTGTAATTCCCAGTGTTGGAGGAGCCTGGTGGGAAGTGACTGGATTATGGAGGTGGTTTCTAATGGTTTAGCACCATCACCCTAGTGCTGTCTTGTGATAGAGTTCTCTCGAGATGTGCTTGTTTAAAATGTGTAGCACCTCCCCAGTTGCACTCTCTCTCCTGCCAGCCATTTGAAAATATGCGTGCTTCCTCTTTGCCTTCCACCATGATTGTAAGTTTCCTGAGGAGTCCTCAGTCATTCCTCCTGTACAGCCTGCAGAACTGAGAATTAATTAAACCTCTTTTCTTTATAAATTACTCAGTCTCAGGTGGTTCTTTATAGCAATGTGAGAACAGACTAATACAACCTGTATGAAATCCCTCACTCCTTGAAAGTATCTAGAGTAAATTTTGATTTCATGACTGGATGCTGATTAGCAAAGCCAAGTCTCTGGAGTCAGGCAGACTTGCATTCCAGTCTTCAGTCTGCAAGTTAAAAGTTATCTGATTTCCCTAAGGCACATTTTCTCTGTGAAACATAGAGGCCAGGCACAGTGGCTCATGCCTATAATCTCAGCACTTTGGGAGGCCCAGGTAGGTGGATTGCTTCAGCTCACGAGTTCAAGACAAGCCTGGGCAGCATGGTGAGACTCCATCTCTATAAAAAAATACAAAAATTTTAACTAGGCCTGGTGGCATGCACCTGTAGTACCAGCTGCTTGGGAGGCTCAAGCAGGAGAATTGCTTGAGCCAGGGAGGTGGTGGGTGCAGTAAGCCATGATCTCACCTCTGCAGTCCAGCTTGAGTGACAGATCAAGACCCTGTCTCAAGCAAAACAAAACAGACAAACCTAGAAAAACTGGTAACTACCTAATAACTTTGTTTTAAGGATTAAAATTCACATGTAGCCTGTATTATGGTGCCCGGCCGGAAAAATTTACTCATTTTCTATCAGCAGTTATTGTACTCAAAGGTAATTAATAGATCTGTTTGTAAGAACCCCAAAGAAACATCACAATGCTTGCCCAGGTTTAGCTTTGCTTCTTCATTTCAGCACATGTGCATGTACACACACACACATATATACACACCTTCTGAATTTCATTTTCACTACCTAAAAAATTTGTTCCCCCACCCTGCTCACCACACATCCCTCCGCCTGAACAAATACTAATCTCCTGATCCAACAGCAATGCATGTCATTTGCAGGGCCTTTCTAGGCCTCAGTCAGACTCACCCCTGGAGCAGCTTGGTAACTCTGGCTCCCATTTGTTCAGGGCCTGGCATTGCACACGGTGGGGTCCTTTCATGACAAAGCCAGGCTGACACCTAAACTCCACAACTTCATTTAAGGAAAATAAGCTTCTGTTGACAGACACCAATATTCCATTTTCCACATTTGGAGGCGTGCATTTCTTAGGTATAATGCACTGAGGGGCCGGGCCGCTCCAGATGCCCACTTGATCATCTTTGCTTGTGCAGTATATGGAGGGCTCACCCACAAGCTCAAACAGCTCTCTCCCTCCACTTCCAAGATTGCAGCGGTAGGTCACCACGGATCCGTAGTGAAAATACTCTCTGTTAGTGCTAAAGAAATCTCCATTGGCGATGGTGGGGGGTAGCCCACAAGGAATTACTGGGAAAAGGAAGAGCATAACAGTCAATTTAAATAATGAATGACAAAAATCTCATGAGTCACTAAACTGTAACTATTTTTACATTCATTATTTGCTTTTAATCTTTGCTAACATGTAGGTACATTTTTACAAAGTTGTAATTTTGGTGGGCAAAATATGATGTGTCCTGCCTTTCTTACTTATGTGATTTCCTATAATATTTGCATGCATGTATTCACTCAATCCACATTCTTTTCATTTTACATAGCTCTTTGATTATAGTATTATAGAGTTTACACCGTTTTCTCCTACTCTTTTCCATTTGCTTTCTTAATTTGCATTTTTGTTATTAACTGAGGTTAGCTGTTTTAGGAAAACAAAATATAAAAACCTTCACTAAAAGATAAATTATAAGGGAAGAGAGAAGACACAAATATACACAGTAGGAAAAGGAATTTAAACATTGTTATGGATATGAGAATATTTATAAAACTGTAGACTACTGGGGGTTAAATATTTTGAAAATCTAAATGATATAAATGGAAATATAAATTGCCAATATTCATTCAAAAAAACGTAGAAAGCTAGAATTACCCAAGAAACATGTAAGAAGAATAAAAAAAATAAGTTCTATCGAACTTTTAAGTAACATATGCTTCCAAATGTAATTTCAATATTTCACAACATACAAAAGATATAAAACTTACCAACTCATTTATTCAAATCTAAATTTGATACAGTAACATATCTGTGTAAAAGTGGTCATTTATTAGTCCACAAAAACCCCTAAATGTATGTTAACATACAGACCAAGACATAGAAGAATAAAGCCTAGCGTGTTTAAGTGAAGTCCTGTCATGATAGGAGAGAGATAACAGATATAAACAACATTTGAAGAAGTAATAACTGAGAAATTTCCAAGACTGATGCAAGATTACAGATTCAAAAAGTTATACAGGCCTGGCATGGTGGCTTATGCCTGTAATCCTAGCACTTTGAGTGGCCCAAGTGGGCAGATCACCTGAGGTCAGGAGTTTGAGACCAGCTGGCCAACATGTCGAAACCCCATCTCTACTAAAAATACAAAAATTAGCCAGGCACAGTGGCACAAGCCTGTAATCCCAGCTACTGAGTTGGGACGATTGCTTGACTCTGGGAGGTAGAGGTTGCAGTCAGCCAAGATCGCGCCACTGCACTCCAGTCTGTGTGACGAGAGTGAAACTCCATCTCAAAAAAAAAACAAAAAACAAAAAACAAACAAACAAAAAACACCTATATAAACCCAAGCAATACAAAGAAATACTTACCTAGACACAACATAGTAATATTGTAAAAAAAATCTATTTTAAAGTGTAATCCATTTTAAAAGCAGCAGGAAACATGGACAATAACCTTCGAAGGAACCACAATTAGAAAAATGTTTAAAGAATTTGTTGTCAGAAGATCTACAATACAAAAATGCCAAGAGACTTTTTCAGACTGAAGGAAAATAGTTTCATATAGAATTTATAGAATTGCAGTAAGAAGGAAACACACCAGAAAGAGCTTATATGCGGGTATGTTTTCATTTAGGATCTTTATGATAGAGAGAACCTCTACAGTGATTAGAAGAAACACAAGATGGAAGTAAAGATTTTATTACGGGCTGGGGGTACATGGTACGCCTGAAGATCACAGAAAGGTTAGTCAGTGCAAGGAATGGAGAGAGAGAGAGAGAAGGGGACACATCGGCCGACACCTTTATTGGCGACCGGAGTATGACCCAGCAGGCATCTCCCATGGGGAGTTCCAACTGGTGAGTTTAAAGAAAGCAGGCACATGTTCCAGGAAGGCATGCTGCGACTGAGAGGTGGTCATGGCAGCATATCTGCGAAGTCCATGCAGGGCACAGAGGTCAGGGATGCGAGTCAAGTAGGTTTTATCTAGCTGTCCCATAGAGAGGTGGTCACCAGAAGGCAGTTTTATAAGGCAGATATCTGGCTCGACCACGTTGAAAACTGGGAGGAGGTACAGAACTAGAAAGGGCATTAAGGGTGACTAAGCTCTGCTTCTGGCATGAGAAAGCTAAACATATTCTAAATGGATGCTGAGGCAACATAAAAATTATAAGAATTCACTACCGTGTAAATATAAAGAGACTGTTTTTATAAAGACAATGACAATTATGTCTTTGAAATATAGAATATATGTAAATTGTTAAATCAAGTGTAGCCTAAAGCCTTACATAGTTTAAGCTCAGCCTAAAGGTTTCTCTGTACACTGCGAACTGTAACAACTGAAGATGTAAACAGACCATAGACTACTCTTATGCCAATCATCGAGTTTTGGCCAATCAAATGTGGCCAACTGTTTGAACTGTCTTCAAATAAGGCAAATGCTGAGCTATAACCAATCCGGCTGTTTCTGTACCTCACTTCTGTTTTCTGTGCATCACTTTCCTTTTTCTGTTCATAAATCCTCTTCCACCACGCAGCTGGACTGGAGTTTCTGGCCTACTGTGGCTCGGGAGGCTGCCTGATTTGTGAATCGTTTGTTACTGAATTAAACTCTGTTAAATTTAATTCAGCTGAAGCTTTTCTTTCTGGAAAATGTATGACAACAATACAAAAAGAGGGAGAGGACACAAATGGAATTAAATATTAATAGTTTGGGTACTTGCATTGTTTGGAGAAAGGTAAAAGCACAATTTTAGTAGACTATAGTAAATCAAGGATGTCTATCTCTAGAGTAGTCATTTAAGAATAAAAAATGAAATATAACTTAAAAGCTACTGGGGAAAATAGAATAATAAAAATACTTGATGAATTAAAAAATGTGAGAAATGAGGAATAAAAGAACAAACACATGAAACAAATAGAAAACAAATAACCAAGAGTTAGACTTATCAGTAACTAGATTAAATTTATTTATTTATGTATTTTTAATTTTAACTTTAATTTTTATTATTAAATTTAAATGTTTCAAACACTAATGAACAACAAAGGCTGAATAAAACAACAAAACTTTACTATATGATGTTTACAAGAGACAAGCTTTAAATATAAGACAAAGAAAGTAAGAAAGAAGCCTGTATAGCTATATTAATGTACACAGTAGATTTTAAGGCAAGAAGTATTATAAGAGGTAAAGAGAGACATTTCATTATGATAAAATAGTCAATTCAGCAGAAAGAATAAACCAAAAATTTCATGTGTTTAATAACATGTTTAAAATACATAAAGTAAAGATTGCTAGAACAAAGAAGAAAGACAGGCAAATTCATAGTCACAGTTTGATATTGTAATGGGTTGAATAACCACTGTTCACCTTAAAAAATATCTATGTCTCAATCTCTGAAACCTGTGAAACGTGACCCACTTTGTAGAGTCTTTGTAGATACAATCAAGTTAATGATCTTGAGTTGAGACCATCCTAGATTGCCACGGTCGCCTCTAAATCCATGCCCAGTGCCTTTACAGGAGACAGAAGAGCAAAGGAAACACACAGAGGAGAAGGCGACTTGAAGATGGAGGCCAAGAAGGAAATGATGCATCTGCAAGCCAAGGAACATCAAAGATTGCCAGCAGCCACTGGAAGGAAGTCTGGAGAGAGGCACAGAATAGCTTGCAGATGGAAGCAATCCTACTGACATCTTAACTGGATTTCTGGCCTCCAAAGTGTTAAGAGAGTAAATTTTTCTTCTTTGAAGCCACCAAGTTTGTAGTAATTTGTTACAGCAGCCCTGGGAAACTAATACAGATATTTTACACATGTCTCTCTATAACTGAAAGAACAAGTGGAGGGGGAAAAAAAAGACTGTTCTAAACCACATTTTCCTAAATGACATTTCTAGAAAATGAAATAAATAAATGTTCCGTCTTTTCAAGTGCATACATAAACTTTTACCAAAATGGTCCATATTCTGGGCCATAAACCTTGTCTCAAATGATTAAATTAATGAAAGAATGATACCTAGAAGATCTCCAAATATTTAGAAGTTAAGCAATGCCCTTCTAAATAGCCTATGGGTCAAAGAAGACATCAGAAGGTAAATTAGAAAACTTTTATGTACAATGAAAATAAAAATATAAAGATTGTGGGAAGTAAAATAGTTTTAGAGAAAAATGTATAGGTTAAATGTATATATTAGAAAAATAAAGGTTGAAAACAAATTATCTAACCAATATTAAGAATTTAGGAGTGGGGGAGTAAACAAAGCTTAAAGAAAGCAGAAGAAAGAAAATAAGCAGAAATCAGTAAAAGAGAAAATAGTCATACATTAAAGAAAAAACAAGAAACTTAAAAGTAGTTTATGTGAAAAGCTTAGTAAAATTGATAAAACCCCAGTAAAACTAATTAAGGAAAAAGAAGCAAAGAGATATTACAAATATCAGAAATTAATTACCATAGGGGAATCACTACAGAATTACAGACATCCAAAGGATTTTCTAATATGAGGATATAATAAACAGCATTATGCTAATAATCTAGAAAATTTAAATAAAATGAGTAAATTCTTTGAAAAATATAGCTTACCCAAACTAATTCAATATGATATAAAATAATAGTTTTACAGCTATTGAAGAAATTGAATCACTAATTGAAAACCTAACAACAACAACAAACCCTCAGGTCTCGATTGCTTCACTGCTGACTTCTTCCAAACATATAAGGAAAAATAATATTAATGTTACACAAATTATTCCAGAGACTAGAAAAAAAAAAAACAATTTTTAACACATTTTACTAGCCCAACATAATCTTGATGCCCAAACCTGATAAGGACATTAAAATAAAACCAAATTATAACCCAAGATCTCTTGAGAACATAAATGCAAATTTTCTAAACAAAATATTATGAAACTGAATCCAACAATATTTCCAAAGGATGATACAATGATCAAAGTGAGGTTTACCTTGACTGATTTTAAATATTAAATCAATGTTACAACGTTACAATAAAAATATGAGCAATCCTGCACACACACACCACACACGCTCACACACATTCCATAGATAGGATAATCATCTACAACACATC